GAAACAAAGAGATCTGAAAGACAAACTGTAAAGCTTTGACATCAGTCTTCAGAATAAAAAGATATATCAAAGGTATATAAAAATGTATACCAAGACATATCAAGTAGAACAACCTTTAAAATATTTTTCCACTCTTAAATACCATGTAGAAGTATAATTCAGAACATCAAAAAAGAGTAAATTCTTAAAAGCTACCAGAGAAAAACTACAAAGAATGACAATCAGACTGATGCCAAATTTCTAATCAGCAGAAACGTGCACGAATAAATGGAGCTATGTCTCCAAAGTGCCAAGGAAACAATACTGAATCTAGAATTCTATACCCAACTAAAACAACATTTAGCTTACTTGAATTTTGTATCATGTGAAAGCATTTCTTATTCCCAAAGGTAAGTATAATAAAAAGTTTTTAAAGAGAAATGAAATATTTTCAGGCAAAGACTAAACTAGTTTATTTTCCAAAGATATTCCCTGACAAAAATTACTAAAACAAAAACAAAAACAAAAAATAAAACAGGAGAAAAATAAATCCACAAGGAAGAGGAGGGATACAATTATTGTCTATGAAATAGAAATAGTTATTGGTAGCAAAAATAAAAATAATAATTACTTTTTCTTATTTAGACACTAGATGGACCTACACATCTAGATAATAACATGAAAAATAATGATGAGTGGGATAAGAGAGAAAATAAACATAGCAAATCCCTCAATTTGAGAGTTATATATTTGTACATTGTTCAAATGTTTAATGTAACCATTAAAAGAATGGAATCAAAATGTTTACTGGCTGGTAGAAAGCAGAAGGAGGAGAGAGAACAGAAGGCAGGAAAGGATAAAAAAGAAATAAAAGAGAAAGTATGAAAATAGAAACTCAGAGTAAAATAGCAGAGACAGTCCAAATACATCAGCAATCCACAATAAATGTAGCTGGATTAAATTCACAATATAAAGAAATTCCTAGATTGACTGGAACAAGCAAAATAAAATATTTGCATATGACACATTTGAGTGAAATCTTTCCATTTCCTCTGAGCTGAGTGTGTGTGTGTGTGTGTGTGTGTGTGATTGTGTGTGTTTTGGGCGGGGAGAGGAATGTTGATTCAGTCTATATTCTCTTTGTAAAAGATTTTGGTGGCACTTAAGTTTTGTGGGCCTAATAGCACAAATTTAACTTTTTTTAAAAAATAGCTTACTGTCAAGTTGGTTTCCATATAACACCATGCTCATGGATTGGAATAATAAATATAGTTAAAATGTCATTACTACCCAAAGCAATCTACACATTCAATGCAATTCCAATCAAAATTGCGCCAGCATTCTTCTCAAAACTAGAACAAACTATCCTAAAATTTGTATGGAACCACAAAAGACCCTGAATAGCCAAAGTAATATTGAAGAAGAAAACCAAAACGGGAGGCATCACCATCCCAGACTTTAGCCTCTACTACAAAGCTGTCATCATCAAGACAGTATGGTATTGGCACAAAAACAGACACATAGACCAATGGAATAGAGAACTCAGAACTGGAACCACAAATGTATGGCCAACTAATCTTTGACAAAGCAAGAAAGAATATCCAATGGAAAAAAGACAGCCTCTTTAACAGATGGTGTTGGGAGAATTGGACAGCAACATGCAAAAGAATGAAACTAGATCATTTTCTCCCACCATACACAAAAATAAACTCAAGGATAAAAGACCTGAACGTGAGACAGGAAACCATCAAAACCCTAGAGGAGAAAGCAGGAAACAACTTCATTGACCTCAACCGCAACAATTTCTTACTTGACACATCCCCAAAGGCAAGAGAATCAAGAGCAAAACTGAACTATTGGGACCTCATGAATATTAAAAGCTTCTGCACAGCACACGGAAAGAGCCTAAGTGTCCATCAACGGACAAATGGATCAAGAAGATGTGGTTTATCTATACCATGGAATACTACATGGCAATGAGAAACAATGAAATCTGGCCATGTGTAGCAACGTGGATGGACCTTGAGGGTGTTATGCTGAGCGAAATAAGTCAGGGAGAGAAGGACAAATATCATACGTTTGCATGTATAGGAGGATTAGGAGGAACTTAAAAGAGGAACAAGGGGGAGAAGAAGGGGGGAAATGGTGGGGGAAAGGGAGAGAGGCAAACCATGAGAGACTCTTGAATGCTGAGAACAAACTGAGGACTGATGGGTGAGTGGGGGGGATGGGAGATGGGCATGGAGGAGGGCATTTGTGGGGGTGAGCACTGGGTGTTATATGGAAATCAACCTGACAATAAACTATTTGTAAAAAAAACAAAACAAACAAAAAAAAAAAAACAAAACTTCTGCACAGCAAAGGAAACAATCCAATAAACTAATAGGCAACGAACGGAATGGGAAAAGATAGTTGCAAATGACATATCAGATAAAGGGTTAGTATCCAAAATCTATAAGAAACTCACCAAACTCCACACCCAAAAAACAATCAATCCAGTGAAGAAATGGGCAGAAGATATGAACAGACACTTCTCCAAAGAGGACATCCAGATGGCCAACAGACACATGAAACTGTGCTCAGCAACCCTCCTCATCAGGGAAATACAAATCAAAACCACACTGAGATACCACCTCACGCTGGTCAAAGTGGCTAAAATGAGCAAATCAGAGAACTCTAGATGCTGGCGAGGATGTGGAGGAACGGGCACCCTCCTACACTGTTGGTGGGAAAGCACAAATTTAACTTTCGCGTATCTTCTTTTACAAGGTGTAATTCAGTTAATTACGCTTTTTCATTGAAAGTTCATCTGAAATGTGTAGAATACTGAATATGAAGCAGATCATAGTGAGTATTCAAAAAGATATTATCAATGAGAATGATTAAGAGACACCTCCATGCATCAGCTAGTTTATTCACTATATGAGAAATAGGTCAACATTACCATGTTATTCTAAACACAGCCATTAAAATCCCAAGGAGGGAAATTTTCACATATTACTGTTATTCACTGTATAATTTTAGCTAGAAGATCATTCTTTCCTGGAGCCTGTGTAAATCAATTGTAACAAACTGCAATTATCACTCTGGCAACTGACTGCTTTGTGGCAGATTTAAATTCCATTTTGCAAGAGAGCCAAAAACTCTCCTTTGCCTCCTAAGCTCAAAAGCCAGAAAGCAGCTGAAAGATGGTCACTGCTTTGTTCTGAATGGAGCTAATTACAGAGACGTCTGCAGCAAGATGGGCGCTCTGCAGTCAGTGTGGAAATAGGGACAATTAAAGCTCATTTCAAGAGACATCGCTTCTAAAAAAAGAAACAGAATTTCAGATTTTAATTACTCACATAGGAATTGTTACATTAAACAGAACCTGACCATTTTTCTTCCTCACAATTTAGTTCAACTAACATGACAATTCTCTGTCATAAGAATGCTCTAATTTTAACATTGCTACACAGATGGGTTGGTAAGAATAGGAAGTTTATTCCTCCCTTCTTTCCTCACTAGATCTATTTTAATCCTACATCACACTCAGTTTAAAATAATTTGCATAATATTGAAATATGTATTTTGTTCCTACATCTTTTTAGAATCATTATTTTTTAATTTTTAAAATTCAGCTATTCAGAGGCACCTGGGTGGCTCAGTCAGTTAAGCATCTGACCCTTGCTTTTAACCCAGGTCATGATCTCACGGTTCCTGGGATTCTTCCCTGTATTGGACTTCCTGCTGACAGCACAGACCCTGCTTTCCCTCCTTCTCTCTCTGCACCCCTCACTCTCCACCAGAATAAATAAATAAACCTAAAAAATTCAGCTACTCTACCATTTATTAATCCCTACGTATATTTTCCAAGCATTATACTCAAAATTTTGGAAACATTTTCTGGCTTAATCCTCCTATCTACTTTATGAGTGCTATTCTTATTTTATTGTAGAGGAAATTGAGGTGTGGTTACTTGAACAAAGTCACATAGCTAGTAAGAGGTTGAGCTGTGATTAAATCCAGCTTTCAGAGATCTTTCCAACAGCAGAATTTAAAAAGCCATACCAGTGTCTGCTCCGGGGAACGTGGCATGAGACAGTATGAAGTAGTTTAGGAACCACGGTAGAAATTTGGCTGTGTGTGTGTGTGTGTGTGTGTGTGTGTGTGTGTGTGTGTTTATGTCTTTCCTTCTGGAGTATGCAAGGTTATGGGGTCAGAGCTGCAAAGGGGTAGAGGTGACAGATGAGGCAGCTTGTGCTCTTGGCAGTTTTTAGGTTATGTTTTCAAGATCTGTTAAGCTCATTGAAAGAGGACTGCTTTGAGATGCTCATTCTTTTTTCTCATTTACTTTTATTCTATGCCTGTGTTCTAAATCTGCCCTTGCATTATTATTTCATTGATTTTCTCCTATTATAAGAGTATTTAGGCCCCTGGGTGGCTCAGTCGGTTGAGCTTCCGACTTCAGCTCAGGTCATGATCTCACAGTTGGTGAGTTCGAGCCCCACATGGGCTCTTGCTGGTAGCCAGCTCAGAGCCTGGAGCCTGCTTCGGATTCTGTGTCTCCCTCTCTCTCTGACCCTCTCCTGCTCACGCTGTCTCTCTCTCTCTCTCTCTCAAAAATAAATAAAACATTAAAAAAAATTTTTTTAAAAGAGTATTTATCCACATAACACAAGTTAGTGATTTTATTTTAGTGATTCATTATATATTGTTTTAGACTCTTATTTTTTTTCCCCAGAATGAAACAACTCTGCTCAGATGGAATCACCTGTCCTCCTTGAATGATTCATTTAGTGGGAAAAACAAAACCATGTGCCAGAATGTTCTCTAACCCACAAAATCTCTCTGAAAATGAAAAAGTTAATCATCTTATTATTGTTCATTGAAAACCAATCAGTGTTTCTTGTTCCTTTTTTATAGACAGATCCTGTTTAGCCATACCTCAAGTTCTGTGTAGCATATAGGCTTGAGATTTTAAAATAAAATGGGATACAGGAGGGGTAGGCAGGTGCTAAAGAAAAAATAGAGGCAGGGAGTTTTATTTGCAATTTAATTGTCTCAGACTTTCTCTCTCTCTTTTTCTGGAAGGACAGTATTGCAGGTTGGGTTGCCCAGTGAAATACACTCTGAGGAGGAGATTCTCACACATCACATTTACTGGGGAGTACTTTCAGGTCAACACCTAAAAGGGAAGGGAAGGAAGCAGAAGGGATAGTTGGGGTGTGATGATATCACAACTGACATCTCAGCTGATCCCACAGGGAGCTCTGGAGCCTTGATGGCCCTTCAGAAAGGTCCCAAATTAAGGAGAGGGATGAGCCATTGACTGCAGGCTGTCCCCATAAGTGAAATGGGTCTTTTCAAAGGAAGGCAATTCAGAATTCGGGAACTTCAAAACCCAGCTGGGACTAAGATAGTGAACTGCCAGCCCTCTAGGCTGCTGGAGGAGGGCTTCAGTCCCGAAACACTGCAGTGAATCTGGGTGACACACCACAGCATCAACAATAGGAAATATTTTTGTTTTCTTAATTATGAAATACTTCAGATATACAAATAGAGAATAATATAACAAACACCCACAAACCCATAGTCCAGTTTAAAAAATAAAATGTTACAAATCAAGCTGAATTATATCCAGCGTAACATTACCGAATCCCATTTCCTTGCCTCCATCAAGAGGCAATCACCATTCTAAACCTGACATTTCTCTTTTTTGAGTAAGTGACCAATTGTCTTGGTTTACCTGGAACTAGGGAGGTGGTCCCCAAAATATAAAACTTTCAGTAATAAAACAGTGAACGTTCCAGGCAAGTCAGGACAATGGGTCACCCTAACAGACAAATTTTATGATTATATATAAATAATCATATATATATATATAAATTCACAAATAACATGTATTAGATTCCATGTTTAAAGTTTATGTAAATGAGATCATGCTATATTATCATTCTACAACTTGTTTTTAAAGTGAAATATAATATTTGTAAGATTGAATCATGGGATAATTATAACTCAAGTTCATTCATTTTAACAGCTCCAGAAGATTCCACTGTTTGGATACACCATAATTTATTTATTCATTCTGCTGTTGATGGGAAATTTTTATTGTTCCTAGCTGTTCATTTCAGCTGTTCACAGTAATGCTGCAATTGGCATTATTGTATGTATGTATCTCCATGCACATATCTGAGAGTTTTTCTGTGTAGACATGGAACTGCTAGAATGTCTTGCATACACATCTTCACCTTTACTAGACAACCAGAAAATTGCTCTCCAAAGTGATTGCACTGAACTTCCTCCCCACTAGCCATATTTGAGGGTTGTTGTTGCCACACATCTTCACTAAAGTCTGCTATTACCAGCTTTTGAAAATGTTGAAATCTAAGTGACATAAAATTCTTATTTTCTTTTTAACAAAAAATCTGGATTGTTCTCTACATTTTTATGTACGTTAAATGTAAGTATCATCAGATTTTGATTCTATTGGATAAAGATATCATTCTCGCTGTGAACTCTGGAGGGTGTAGTCCAGTTCTAATCAGTTTTTGAATACCCAGAAGCCATTACAATGCTTGTCACAAAGCAATCACTCGGTGCATGCTTGTTGACTTAATGATCAAATTCATCAAGTGTTCTATTTCTTGCTGTTATATTCCTTATATCTATGGAGAACCTAATAGTCATTCACTCAACAAATGTTCATCAACTACCTATCAGGTTCCAAGTGTGGGAATATAGCAGTGAACAAAAAGGACAAAACTCCCTGTCCTCATGAGGGTTTCACATTCTAGTGTCAGATACTTAACTCTAAGCTTCAGAAGATCCAGCAGGTCTGTTAGGCACAGTGAGGTCAGAGCAGGCTGCATGAAGGAGATGAAGTTTAAGCTAGCCTCGGAGGATGGTGCACTTAAGATATCTCAGGGGAAACTGCAAGGGCACTGAGGTGGAAGGGAGTGGGATGATGTGTAATATGAAAAGAAGACTGGCAGGTGAGTGGAGGGGTTCAAAGTTGGAACCAGAGAGTAGATCCAACAAAGGGCCACAGAAGGAAATTTTAAAATTCATACTTGAGGAATAAAAAACAATGACTCAAAGTTTTGGAACAAGGAAGCAACATGGCAAAAGACCTGTTTGAGGAAGATAGGTCTGGTTGTCACCTGCAACAGCAGAACATGTTTAGTGTGAAAAGTCTGGAGACTGAGGATTGACTAGGGTCTGCTGCAAAAATCCAGAAACCTGGGAGTCTTCTAGATTCTCCCTACCACCCCTCCCTCACACACACACACACACACACACACACACACACACACACACACCTGTAATCCAGGGAGTAGCCAAGTTTCTTTAATCCTGTGTCTTTAGTAGCTTCTGGAGTCACAATGCTGGAGGATGGTTTCCCTAAAAGGCAAACCCAATCATGTTACTTCTCTGTTTCACATCCATCAGCTGCCTCCATACACCTTACCAGGCTCTAAAACATGATCCACAAAGGCCAACATGACCTAGCTTTGTGCACCTGTTCCCATGCCCTCAGAGCTCTTGTGTTATATACGCTGATTGATGTTTCACATTTCCATAACTCAGCATCCTTCCACTCCTTCTACTCAATACGTGTTTCTCCAAATATTTGGAAACTCTTTCTCTTCAAGTTCCAGCTACTGTATTAGTTTCTTAGAGAAGCCTTCTCAGGTTACTCATTCTCAATGAACACCTTCATACACTCATCACATTGTGTTTGCAGTTATAAATTTGTCTTCACTGTAAGAGTGAGATTTTGACAACACAATCTGTGCTAAACCATGGACACAGCTAACGTTCATTAGATGCAAACTCCATGAGGAGTCAACCTATACCTATTTTGCTCCCCATTATTCAAAGATGAATACATATAGACAATCAATCTTTGTTTAATCAATCTTTGTTTCTATCTACATGGAAGATAGAAAGTACTTAATAAACATTGAATGAATGAGTTGTGTTGTCATTTAACTTCAAATAAAGGCAGCCAGAGGCTATGACCATGAGATTTAAAACCACAAGTGAGTACAAAGTGAACAACCATGTTTATGTAATTTGTGGACACTACAGATCTCTTTTGAGGCCAAATATCATTACATGGAGTGCATTTCTGCAACTTCAGGAATATTAGAATAGCCTAAAAAATGACTCTAATTGTCTTCCTTGAAAATCCCAGCACAATGCCCAGCTCATAGCAGGTCCTCACTTGAATGAATGGATGAATGAATGAATACATGAGTTGTTCATTCTTAATTTCTATTATAAGTATCAAAGATGGCAACCATACAAAATTAGGAAAAAAACAACTCTACTGTATTTATAATCTTTATTCTTGAGGATTGTTTCACTTTGTATCTTGATTTTGTTTGAAAAGAGTCCAAGCATGTCCTTCCTGTTTCTGACATTTTTATAGCTGTCAATAAATTACCTTAACTCTTTCTTTTCCTTCAGTAACTTCCCTTTTGCTTCCCAAATGAAGGCCAAATTCTTCAGCCTGGACTTAAGGATTTACAGTGGTGACTCTATTCTCCACTGTTCCTCTGAAAACACCTTACACTGCAGCCCAAGGGAACTCTCTGCTATTTCCATACATGCTCCAGGATTTCCACCTGTGCCTTTGCTCACACAGATGCTCCAGCCGGAATGCCCTTTCCTGCTGGCTGTGTCATAGGCATGGCAGGATTCACAGCTTCAACCATGGTTCAAGACAGGCTCCACCACTTATCGTTATATGACTTGGAGTTACTTGTGCTGGTGGTCTGGCTGTTTGTTCTCAGACACACCCCTTTCTCTTCCCCTGCTCCCCTGAGCCCTATAGGGTGTCTTTTCCAGATCCAGGGTCAGCCAAAGGAAGGCACCAGTGGGCCACCAGAGGACAGGAAAAGGGTTCAGAAGCGGGAGTGTTTCTTCTCTCTGGCTGCCTTGGGCAGCATCTCTGGCAGTAGCTACATCTCCTCCTTGGCTCCAGCTACTGCCAGACAGGCCTGCTGTGATTTTAGCTTCCTGGTTAGAAAGAGAGGGAAGGAATCCCAAGGATCTCACTTGAGCCCTGCGTTCAGCTGTGACTGAAGCAGTAGGACGTACCCTCTGCAGTTCCCATTTATGTGAGCCAATACATTCTCTTTTAAAACTTGAGCCATTTTGGCTTGGGTTTTCCCACTATAAGCAGCAAATAGTCTTTTTAAATGTAATCCCTCGAGTAAGAAGTAACTTATCACTTATCAAGTACTTAAGAGGAAAAACTATTCTTAAATTGCTGTGACACAGGATAGAAAATACTACTTGGTGTGTAGGAGTTCAGAAGAGGGAGAGTGACTTCCATCCTGACTGTGGTGGGTAGAGCCAAGGTGTTCAGGTTGAAACGGAAAGCCAAAGCAAGTGTTTTAAGAGTGGTGTGTCATGATTTACGCAGAGCTGTAGGCGGATTACTTTTGGCACAGTATAGACCAGCAGAGCCACTGCACTGCAGAACTCCGTTTGGGTGCTCCCTAGAGTTGTATCACGTGCAGCCTTGAGCCACGGAGAGAAGCTGAAGGTATGGTCAAAGAGTTTCTGTCTCCATGAGAGAGGTGCCAGGAATTTGGACAGTAACAGAAGGCAGTGGATGGATTTAAGACACATTCTAAAATAATTTGAAAGTTTTAATGTGGGGGACAGACGGGGTGTCAACAGAAATAGGGTAGTTGAGAGGAAGAGTAGATTTGGTAGAAATAGAAAGTTACTTTTTAGACAAGAGCTTTTTAAGGCAGTAATGGGAGGAGGCTGACAGCTGCTGACAATGGACCTGGGGCTCGGGGAAGTAGGGCTAAGCATCCAGATCTGGAAATCATTCACACGGAGATGGTACTGGAAAGCACAGTTTGGAAGAAGTTGCCAAGAGAGAAAATATGTGTCAGAAGAGGGCCAAGGAATGTTCCTTAGGGAGTAGCTACATAGAAAGAGTAGAGAAGGAGCATGAGTCAGAAAACTGGACTAGGGAGTGAGGCATCAGGGAATCATGAGAAAACTCAGAACCATGTCAGGAGGACCAAGGAGGAGTTTCAGAAAGGAGGGGCTGACCATTGCCACACGCCCTCCACAGTAATTGCTTAAGTGTTTGTCAATACGAAGCTTCCATCAGCCTGGGTCCCTGAGCACCATGATGAACAGGGCCCTGATGACCCAGATGGACATCTAGCATGGGTGAGAAGTAACTTTTGTTGCTAAAAGCCAAGAAGGGTGTTTTTTCTTTGTTTCTGCAGCAAAGCCCAGCCCATTCTGACCAAAACATGGTGGCCACTTGAGGATGAGGAAATGGGGAGAAAAAGCATAATCAGAAACCTCAGCATGATCGTAGGATTAGGAGGAAAACTAATAAAAGAAACTGAAGATGTAAGAGAGGGTATAGTTGGTTGGTCTTGGCTCTTGGGGAGTGTCAAGGGTTGTGTTATTCCTTTGCACACCAGCATACCACAGAACAGCCATTCTGGATATGTGGCCAACACACCAGGTCTTCCCAGGATGCCTACAGGTCCCTTTGGGCTATAGGCCAGCCAGGAAGATGTGGCAAAGGCCCTGAAGTTGTCATTCTGTGATTCACAGCAATGCATTTTACAGAGCAAGTTCCCTCTGTTGTCTGCTAGGGCAAGGCACTGCAATGTCCAATCCAGGAAGCTTCTTCTTGAAACTGTGCTCCTTGAACATGACTGAGGTGGCTAGTGGGAAGCCAGCCTTCTCTCATGCAGCTGCTTGGAGAGCTCATCTCTGTTCTGGGTCACGCTTAGGACTGAGGTGGAGCTCATTGGAGGCAATAGGAAGGAATCAGTTCTTAGTATCACAGGAAATACTCTGTAGAGTTAAGAGAAGCCTCTTTGTGTGAGAGACATGTGTTTCTTGATTTTAAGTAATGGCTTACCCAGAAAAAGCTCAGATTCCTTTCTGTTTCCAACCCCTTGTTTAGGACTTGACTCTTATTACTCTATTTTCTGAGTAACAGTTCATGGTAAATGACCCTTGTTCTTGAGGCTCAGATATAAATACCAACTTTCCATTTTCTTTTATAGGCTCCTGAACTGAAGCAATGAGAAGACAAGCTGTTCTCATAAGTAAGTGCGGTTACAACTTTTTGTTGTTGTTTTGTTTTGTTTTTAATGAGCGTTATTCTAACCCATTGGATGCATTAGAAAAAAATCTCCTTGATACTCTGTAATGGTTTAAATGGCCTAAGAATTGTCTGTCCTTTAGTGATTTGACAGAATTATAGTCTGTAACTCCTTTAAGTGTGATACCTTTTTCACAAAGGGATCTTTTCCTGCCTTTTAAATTTTTTCTAGGATCCATTCAGGCTCTCTAGTGCTTCTAGAGTTCATATTAATCATTTATATTTCACAATAAAGTTTTCCATTTCATAAAAAAAAAAAGACAAGCAGTTCTTATCAAGGTATTTTATCCCATGGGTAGAATAAATCACAAGGAAAGAATCCATAGTCAAAAAGAACATTACACTTCTTTTTAAACCACTTGAACAAAGATTGTCATCTCCTGGAGAGCAGTAAGTGGTCTTGTCAATGTGTCCCCAGCATATAGCTTAGTATCTGGCATAGAGTAGACACTCAGAAAAAGTGTCTTCCAGAGGAGTAAATGAATGAATTGGTGTTTTACCAACATTGGGGTTATGTAGATAGCTTAGAACCAATACGATTACAGGTAATATAAGGAATCTGCTGGGTTGGACCTAATGCATTTAGGACCCACTGAAGGGGCCATTGAACTGGGATAATTCATAGACCCAAGGGACACCCAGCTCTACCATTTTTACTTCACTCTGCTGCTCAGTGGTTGGCTTTAATTCTGCAGTTAACAGGATCTACCAATAAACTGTCTGACCTGAGTTTCTTCATCTGTTCAATGTGACAACTGAATTAGTTCACTGCAGGACCCTTGTTAATCTCTGTGACACTCTGGAGTATTCTCTGACATCCCCGAAAATACATGTTTTTAAAGAAAAACCTGGATAGTAAGTTGGGAGGTTTCTAACATTCTTCTTCTGTGAAACTGCAACAATCTCTGTTATTAGTTTAATGAAAGAAATCTTAACTCTCTTACTACTGCCCACTTCCCCTCTCCTTTCCCCAAATAAGCAGGTCGTGTCTGCAGACTTCTTTCAAACTCTATTCTGACATATTCTCTGGGGAAAAAAAATCTATTTCATAGTAGGAAGGTCAACAACATTAAGCTAGGGATTCCCTATACACATACTGATGCTTATTTCCTTCACTTAAGGGATATTTCCTTCCCTACCTCTCTCCTTCCACAAACATTTATGGATTAAATACAGGCACTGAATGCAGGAGATCCAACTATGAACAAGTGAGACATGGAGTTCCCATCCTAGGTTTGGTCAGGGATTTAGATAAGTAAATGGGAAATTGGTGTTTGATGCAATGTATTGACAGGAAAGATATAAGCTGGGAAGAAAACACACTGGAGGAATCCAGCCCAGGTTTGGAGGATCTGAGTTTCTGGGTGAGCTGTGATGTGAAGGTTAACTGTGAGCCAGGTGAAGGATGTGGTCGAGGGAAGGAGGGGGTAGTCAAAAGAATAGTGGCTCCCATCTCCTGCTGGACTATCCTCTGGAGACATGGAACTGTGTTCCCTTCTTAACTTGCCTTCTGAGCTTCAGTGATTTCAAAGGCTGTAATTTTCAACAGTGTTGACTTGTTTTAACCTCTAAGGAGACGTGGGACTTCATGAGTGTCAAAAATGTTTTTGCTGATGCTTGAGATAAATGGAAATTACTGCAAATTGTTGTTTAAAAGCACTTACCTTGAGAAGATGTGGAGAAATAGAAACTCTGATGCACTGTTGGTGGGAATGCAAACTGGTGCAGCCACTGTGGAAAACAGTAAGGAGGTTCCTCAAAAAGTTAAAAATAGAACTACTCTATGATCCAGTAATCACACTAATGGGTATTTGCCCAAAGAATATGAGAGAAAACATGAATTCAAAGGGATACATGCATTACTAAGTTTACTGCAGCATTATTTACAATAGGCAAATTATGAAGTACCCCAAGAGTCCATTGATAGATGAATGGATAAATAAGATGTGATGTATATATACAATGGAATATTATTTAGCCATAAGAAAAGAATGAAATCTTGCTATTTACAATGACATGAATGGATCTAGAGGATATAATGCTAAGTGAAATAAACCAGAGAAAGATAAATACCATATTATTTCACTCATATGTGGAATTTAAGGAAGAAGACAAACAAGCAAAGGAAAAAAGGAAACAGACTCTGAACCGTGGAGAACAAACTGACAGTTACTAGCAGGGAGGTGAGTGAGGGGATGGGTGAAATATGTAAAGGGAATTAAGAGTACACTCATCATGATGACCACCGAGTAATGTGTAGAAATGTTGAATCACTATATTGTACATCTGAAATGAAGATAAAACTGTATGTTAATTACACTGGAATTATAAGAAAAATAAATAAGGAACTTGCCTTCATTTTACCTCAGTGCTTGGGGTTAAAATTTAAAATGTCATGTTCCACTCCTTTTCCAATAAACACCACAGGTTGGCCTGTTCTTTCACAGCTATTTATCGCATTCCAGAAAACCCAGTACAGTGCAATGAATCACAGAGGAGATCTATATGACACAACTTTGTATCATATGTTGTGAGAGAGATCTATTTATTCCTTTTGGAAGAAAGGTTGTGTGAGATAGATGTATTTATTCCTTTTGGAAGAAGGATATGAACCCTGTTCATTCAGAGGACAATCACTTATTCTTAAATGTTGGATTTTTTTTTAAAATGAAGTTGCTAAAGCCATCTACAATGTAGTATCTTCTACCAATATCTACTTCCATTGCACTGTCAGGAAATTGATTTTAATTGCTCATTTTAGTATTTTGTGCTAGATTTATTTTTCTTTTATTCATTCATTCAGCAAACATTGCAGAGCACCTCACATTGTCCTACATCCAATGTATTGAACATAGTCAAGAAGTTTATGAATATTAAACTAAAAACATATTAATTTTTGAACCTATTCAAGCTTAGAATACTTAAAGAGTAATTCAAAAACAGTTATATCAATACTTTTCTCAGAAATAAAAAAAAAGCAGATGTGGATTTTTAAAAGATGCCACTTAAGTCCTTCTTTCTTTATCACATTAACATAAAGAACAAATCAAATTTGGGGAAAAGTGTAAATAAATAAAAATAAATTTATCCTTCAAATAAAATTCAGTTAATTCTAGTAGGTATTTTTAATATTTACTGTCAATTTTCTTGAGCCTTAGGTTCTTCCACTACAAAAAGAGAGTTCATTAATAATGTACTAACAAATATGTACTGAATGCCTACTATATGCCTGGTGCTGGTTTAGGCTTTGGGAACACAGTGGTAAACAAAACATGCAATCCTGTGTTTATGGTGCTAATATTCTCATGCAGATAATACTAATCTCATAGGATTGTTCAGAAGATTGGCTATTAGTGTAATTAACTGTTTTGTGAGTTGCAAAGTGCTTTGTAAATCCAAGACTCTAGAATGTGATAACTGCCTTATTCTTCATTCTAGCTCCACAACTCAGTAGGTGCTTTGAGTAGATGCAAGTGTATCAACACTATCACATTTGACCACTAGAGGTCCTCCACAAACGTATCCAACATTAATCCATTCTGTGTATTATATTCACTCATTCCAGTATGATAATGTACCAAAAGTCATTTAAGAAAGTTGGTCATATTAAACAAAATGTATTATATGAAACACTAAGAAACTATCCACAAGAGGTTAATTATATTAACCCAGGTATCACACATACCATGCAATAAGAACTGTGGATCCCCGGCTGAAAGCTGTAAATTAAGAAATACCATATATTGTTTTATCACAGCAGTCTCGCAAAACAAACCACTTAATCACCATATATACTTCTTTTAAGACAAAGCAATGTCTACCTCCTTTTTAATGGCTATATGGTACTCTATTTTATGGCTATACCATTACTAGCACGTGCTACAGTTAACCTTATTGCTAAAGCTTATTAATAATAATTAAATAATTAAAGCTTATTGCTTATTGCTAAACCTATGCATGTATTATCTCTTCAAGATCAAGTATTGTGGGGGTGCCTGGGTGGCTCAGTCAGTTAAGCATCCAACTTCGGCTCAGGTCATGATCTCACGGCTTCTGGGTTCGAGCCCCACATGGGGCTCTGTGCTGACAGCTAGCTCAGAGCCTGGAGACTGTCTTTGGATTCTGTGACTCCCTCTCTCTCTGACCCTCCCCTGCTCACGCTGTCTCTCTCTCTCTCAAAAAATAAATAAAACATAACAAAAAAGATCAAGTATTGTGTTTTTGCCAGAATAAAACAGTGTATTTATAGGAAAACAACTACAAAATATGAACTTACATTTTCAAATTTACTGGTAATTGTTTAGTGTTTTCCTAAATATTCCCCCAAATTTCGTAACCTCATGAATTTAATTTTAAATTTTTACACACACATTTTCCTCACAGTTAGGAAAATATAAGCATTTTGTCTAAGTGGTGTTTTTTTGTTTTCTTTTTTGGAACACCACAAGAAATAAATATTGAATACACATTGAACTGCTTTTTTAATTGCTTTGATCATGAATATACAAAAACATGAGTATTTCAAGACTATTCTCACTGTGTCTGAGTACATAATTAAAACAGAATTCCAGGAACTGGAAATTCCTTCTTCAGTACCCTTCCATTAACACAATACTTGTGTAATCTATAGAACTGTGCTTTGATAACTGATAAATCATTTCTATTATCTCAGTGATTATTAAATATGAGTTTAGCCTCAATGAGACGAACTTCTAAGAGATACAGCAACTTAGGAAACAAATATTGCTATTTAGTGGCAGAATCTTATAATCTCCTGGGAGTAGTGAAATGAATTTCACATGTATAAAAAGGGCAGTTTAAGTAGCAATAAAATCAAAACTATTCTCAAATTATGAGTCCTTAGTATATGTAATTTCTCACATAAACCAAGTGATCAAAACGCATTCACAACACACAAAAAAGCAAATGGAGAACTCAGTGTACATGCTTAAATTTTAATACTTGAGAAAATATAAGTTAAAATCTGATACAAGAAAATACGCACAACTTTGGATTCAAATGGAGTCGGTATATGAACCTGGATGTACAAATGTATCATAACCACTTATTACTGACGGCTTTTAAAGGACTAATAGATTTCAAAATCTGGTAGAGATAAATAGATTAGAGAAGGGACAGTAGTTTTTCTCAAAATATTTCCCTTACCCATTAACAACTGTAAACTTAGTATGGAGAGGAAAGTTAGAGGTCACCTAATTTAGCAAGGTATTTTGAAGACATAAATCTTAAACTGCTATAAGCCCAAACAACCTAAAAATGGTCAGCATTTCATTCTCCTTTGAAGATCAGTTTGATGTGTCAATCATGTTAGCAAATTGTAGCAAAGAAAAATAAAAACTCATTCCATTCTTTTTTGAAAATACTTGCTATTTCTTCTGCCAGGTACTTAAGCAATTTAAGCTTAATACTCATTTTGTTAAATATGAAACATGGAAAATCTTTTAAAACCTTGCACTATGAGTAAGAAGAAATGAAAACTTTCCAACTTCAATAATGCATTTTAAAAATTGTGAAAATGATTAGAAACATCAGCTCTTTAAGAGCATATCAAAATGTATTCAAAGAAAGTATCTTTCAGCTGTTGCTTATTTTAAAAAATCTTTATCTTGCAAGGGTAAGCTATATATAAATAAAAATTCATCCAACATGAATATAATTGGAAAAATTCCCTACTGATGACTAATAGGGCCATTTATAAATTAACTTCCAATTTAACAACAACAACAAAATTCTTGGAATCTGTGCCAGATGCCTGCAGGATACTTTTATTCCTGATTACTCTCAACACAAAAGTTACTGCTTACATACTATAAAATTTACTTGGATTCATAGGTTTGTTGTAGTGTCATATTTTTTTTAAGTTCTAGAAGTTACTGGTACAGAAGAATTATTTGATCTTATGGGGGAATAAACTCCTTCTTGAAGGTAAAATTCTTCCTCTACGAAAGATACCTTAAAGATTTCTGATCACTAAAAATGTAAAGCTTTCAGTACTTCTTGAACTTGATTTCTCTTTCCAAAGACATAAATATTCTCTCTCAATGCCCAGAGCAACAGAAGTAAACCAAATATTTGGTGACTGTCTCTTGTAAGAAGAGAAGCACCAATTATTCCAAAAATGAGCTCATATATCTCTGATTTTAACTGTATTCTCTAGACAAAAGGTCACTTCATTTTATACAAAGTTTTCTTGCTTTATAAAATGTAGAATGTTAGTAGTCAACTTAAGATGCTTATTTTATAATTGCACACTTGTATAAACCATTATTTTTCTTTAGACAACACATTCTACTTTAAAATAGGGAAACACAAACCACAATACTGAATACAATAACCTATGGTAACTGATAATACTATAAAGTTAATAAGCATACCCCCAAACTTCTGAAAGTATATTAATACTTTTTTAAATAGTCATAATCCCTTAAAAAGCAAATTACTTTACATTTATCTTAGATCAATGGAACCTATGCAGTCATTATATGATGTGGATATGCTCCTTGGAGAATCTGCCTACAGAGTCCAAAATGCTGCATATATATTGTCCACTTGCCATTGAAAAACTGAAAGCAGCATGACATTTTTAAAAAAATTAATGTAATTGGAAGGATCTAATTAAAACTGGCACTGAGCTATCTAAGGAAAAATAACAATCGCATGATAGAATTTTTATATAGCACCACCATAAGGTTCTTTAATAACACCTTAATTTTAAGGCTATTAAAACATAATTCCAATGTAAAAACATTATATTAAAAGTTTATATTAAAGTAAAAATTTGTATCTGCAGTCATAGGAAACTATATTAAAAATATTTTTAATATGCTAAAAGTTACGAAATCAGTTTCCCCTTTTGCATTGCACAATATTCATCTAAAAGAGGTGTACATTTTATAAATGTCTTTTTTTTAACCAAATTTCAGTTTATATTTCAATATCTTGTTTTTTTACCAAAAATATTACAAATTTGTTACCAAAAATATAACAAAATATTAACCAATATTAAAATAAGCCAGTTAAACTCAGTTCCTTCTGATTTGGAAAGCTTAAAAAATTTTAACCGGATTCTTACAACCCTAGAGTAACGTCCAGCTAATCAGCAGCAGCCACTGGTACTTAGTATTTATTGTTCAATCAGGCAATCCTGATCAAACATTAAATTAGGTGCCTTATTAAATTAGGTGCCTTTTGTAATACAAATGCCAAACCGTTGCTATTTTTTAAGAGGCAATAACTAATATTTAGAGCACCCCTGTTGCTATTAGCCGGTATGTAACCTCCATATTTAATATACATTAAAAAATATAGCAACTATCCTATAACTCTAGTAGTGTTATTTAACTCTACATTTCCCCTAAAGGGCATATATTAACAAAGATGCTATGAATTGAAAATCACATAAGTGTCTATTATTAATAAGAACCTTATAGCAATTTTACAACAGTCTGCCTGAAAAGGGCACCTTCTGGTGAATTCAGAAATGTGAATTGTGATGCACTCTCCACCTCTACCCCAGTCTCCAACCTCTATCTTACTGTGACTAATGTCTGAATCTATTTTGACAAACAAGAGAAATTTTTAAGATGTGACACTAATACATTCACTCTCTTTACTGTTTTATTAAAATGACACATTTGTATTTACTTTCTAGGTTTCTTACTTCCAGTCATAACAAAATAATGGTCATCATCTTCCTTCTTCCTTGCAGTAAGTTTTTGATCTCCGCTAACTGCTTCCTTACCAGACGAGGGTGGTTTCCTGGTTGAAGCTGGGGCTTTGGTACTTTTTGGAGGCCCTTTAGCTAAATACTGGCCCTGAGTGGTACTCTGTGCTGACTTTGGTACAGTCCGTGTCTTGACAGAGGACTGGGGAAGACTCATGATGGACAGCGGGGTACGGGCAGAGGACTTCGAGGAGCTGGGTTCTGTCTTCTGGGATGTACTTTTATTTTGAGGCTGCGTTTTGGCAACTGAAGCCATGTTCTTATCTTTTGATTCCTGTGCAGCTTTTGCAGGCACAACTGAGGATACCGAGAGTGGCTGGTTTAAATTCAAGGCTGACTTAAGTTTCTGTGCTGGCATTGCCCTTGCTTGTGGGGCTCCATCAGATGGCTGAGACCGTGTTCCTAGACCTGCGGTCATTTTTGCAGGGGAATGTATAGAAGGGGAAGGTTTAGGCCTTACATGGATATTTGCTTTAGGGAGCTTTGGACACTTTGATGATGAATCTGAATGTGCAGCTGAGTGAGATCCTGCATTATCCCTGGAAGATACATGAGTGTGTTTCAAATGCTTTGGTTCAGTTTTTCCAGAAGATTTATTTGGCAAAAGTGCAGACTTAGGCACATCTCTAGGCTTCTGGGCTGTAGTAAGCTTGGCCTTAGGAGTACTGGGTGATAAGATACATTTAGATGCAGTTCTGGATGAAGCTGGTGAAGAAGTACTTTTACCTACTGGATTTAAAGAAGGAAGTGAAGATGATGCATTGTTTGAAGGTGCCGGTGGTTTCCTTGCTATGTCTTTTGAAGATTTGAGCTTAAGATGAGAAGACACTGCTGGAGAATTTGGCAATTTAGGACGGACTGACATGGAGCCCAGATTCCCTCCCTTCAGGGAAGATTCTGGTGGCAGTTCAGCCGGTGGACGTGCCTGCTTTTCTTTGCTCCTTGGTATACCCATTGGCGTGCCAGGTTTTGGTTTTTGTTTCTGAAACATGCTAACTGCTGACAAAGGATTCATTTCAGGAGGCTGAGGTGTTTTGGCAGACGGATCAGGCACACTTTCATTAGAAACTCCTTTCTGAAAAGCTAGAATTTTTTGTTCTAGTGTAGCAAACTGCAATATTCGACAGGGATCATATTTAAGCAAAAATCCTTGAAGGGTATCCCAGCCTCCACCAACACGGACCATGACGTGTTTTCCATGAAGCATCTTTTCCCCAAAAGAAAGTAAAAAATAAAGCTGTAAAACTGAAACGATCAGTTTTAATTCATTAGCAGTCACAATTTGTGACGTCTGTGATCTATGAAATTCAGAATACTTGCCAACAGCTTCACTATAAATTGACAATCTATTCCTTATATTTTTAAAATAATCAATTTAATTCATATTGAATTCATGCAACAATATACATCTTCCAATTAGTGAGAAAAATATTTGCACATAACTTGCATCTAAAAATCCAAATTACAAACATATACAATTACAAGGGCAATATTGTTCAATAAAGAATGAAATACTGAAGGAAGAAAAGAGAGAAGAAAGATGGAGGGAGAAGAAGAAAAGGAGAAATGAGGACTTACAGAAAGTATGCATCATAATAAAAAATAATTATGGAAGAAAGATAAAAATGACTAAAACTTGTATTTTACAATTTATTTTTTAAATTTTATAATGTTATTTTTGAGAGAGAGAGAGAGAGAACAAGCAGGAGAGGGGCAAAGAGAGAGGGAGACACAGAATCCAAAGCAGGCTGTCAGCACAGAGCCCAGTGCCAGGCTGAACCTCATGAGCTACAAGATCAGGACCTGAGGTGAAGTTGGATGCTTAACCAACTGAATCACCCAGGTGCCCCATGTACTTTACAATTTAAATAAATTACTTTCATATATATTTTAGCAATTTAATCTTTCAAAAACTTTGATACAATTTATTATTTATTTCTTCTTTGCAGACAAGACAATTTTGGCTCTGAGAGATTGAGGAAATGGTCTCAAATCACACAGCTTGGCCTGGCCTCAAACATTCCAGGCTGCCCAACCCAAATGGTGTTTTTGTGCAGACAAGATGCATCCTGGGTCTGCTAGCATGGCCCCAGAGGATTTTCAGGCCCCTATCCATTCAGCAGGCAAATCTGCTCAATTGTATGAGACTGCCCTGCAAATTTTAACTTTAAATCCCATGCTCTGTGTACCATGACCATATCAGACTGCCTTTAAAAAAGAAAGCTAATTAAAAAATGGAAAGTGCTTGGATGTGTTTCTGTGTGAGTTGGGTAGGGTGTGGGAGGTATTGAAAATATATGAAATAACCAAGAATATGGATGGTGAAATTACCTTTTAAATACTTTTATCTTATATTCCTAAATTGGGAATAAAAGAGGTCTAGTATCAGAAGTAGACAGAATGCTCAACAGGTAAAACTTCTATCTCTTTACCAATAAAGGGGATGGTCAATCATCTTGGACTTGGATTGCAGACGGGGCAAAGGAAAGGAATGAAGATGTGTATCAGGATGGCGGTGTATGCACTGATGCAGTGTCAATGCAAAAAGGTTTTATACTTAAAATCCAATCTATACATTATTATAAAGTTCAGTGTTTCTCCTTCCTTTTCTTGTTACAGATATCAAATCTTACTAGATGTATTGTTTTGCTTTTTTCTTACAATGGTAAAGGATGTCTTTTTAGAAAATACGAAAAATGGAATAAATTACCTGACGCATACAAAGATTTTACCCCCACAATTATATTCAATGTCTTAGATATCCTGTAGTTAGGAGTTTGTTGTGTTAAAGATGTCTACCCAAACTCATTATACACTCATGAAAACAAGTATTCCATATTTTTCCTATACAATAAAATTCTTCCATTAATAATACCTTCTATTCTAATTTTTAAAAAGTAATACAGAAGCAAAAGGAATTTGGTAAAGCAATAAATCCAATTTCAAAACAAGATCTGTATGTAAATAGGGTGTAAATGGTGGACTTACTCTTATAAACAGTATTTTATCCCCAAGTCGGTACCGTCCTTCAGATAAGTACTCAATAGAAAATCGATGGGAACAACTACAAGGAGGGTCTTCAGCAATATGTTTAACCTAAGATTAAAAAAAAACAAAATTTAGTGCTTGTGACAAAAAATATTTTTTTTAACATTAAAATGTAAGGTTATCTGATAGGAAGATCAAACTCAAAGATAAAAATTTAAAGACAGTTGAGCCATTTATCTCTCCTTTACCTGTTGACATATATTGAGATATGGATTTTTTTTAAGTAGGCTCTATACCCAATCTGAGGCTTGAACTCATAATCCCAAGATCAAGAGTCACATGTTCTACCGACTGAGCCAGCCAGGCGCCCCCGACAACTGTTAAGATTAGACATTAACTAATCTAATAAAAGCTGGTAGTGACAGTCTTTTTTTTTTTTTCTTTTTTAAAGTAGGCTCCATGCCCAACATGGGGCTTGAACTTAGGACCCTGAAATCAAGAGTCACACGCTCTACTTACTGAGCCCCCCAGGCACCCCAGTGATAAAGTCTTGAGTCTCCCTGTCTCTCCCTCCCGCCCTACCTCTCTCCTTCCCCCTAACTAACTCTCCGCCTAAGTGCAATCAGGATCCTAGTGCATTCACTGACCACTGGAAAAGGTCTACAAATGTGTACAACAGTGAAGTCAATTCAAAACAGATTAGGAAATACATGAGTTCATTATTAAGCTTGAATTGTTTTATGCCCTTGATTAATATATCTGTGTTAATTCAAAGACAGGCCAGTCAGATAAAGCTTAAGTAGGATTTCTCTCTTGTCCCTTAACACCATGCTCAACTAACAGTGGAGGGGAATATCTATATTGTTCCAAAATTACTGTTTGAAATAAGCAGAGGCATATTTATACCTACTGACCCAAAGAGGGTAAAATTCTAAAGAATTCAATTCAAGAGGCATTTTCCTAAAAGTGATCACTTTGTTTCAATAGTATGCTAAGGAGATGAGAGTTGGAGAGAAATCCCTACCTGTATCCCTCAAGGAGCTTACAGAATTTTTACTTGCAGTAAACATCTAAGAAATTATAAAAACTGGAATATAAAAAGAAATTCAGAAATTTTATATTTGAAACATGGACATTAATAAATTGATTAAAAATTAAAATATTTGCTAAGATATGTTTGATTGAAAAAAAGTTGCGTATCAGTCATCATGGAAAATATTCTGATTTCCTAAAATTACATTTTTGAAAAAGCAAGGCCATGAATATTTTTCTCAACTACTTGTCACACACAGTATATCTAAACAAACCCATTTAATTGAACTTAGGCATGATGTTAAACCAAAATCTCTTCAGATATGCCCAATTTAGCTGAGCACTAATAGAAATGTATGAATGTCATGAACAGACACTTCTCCAAAGAGGACATCCAGATGGCCAACAGACACATGAAACGATGCTCAGCATCCCTCCTCATCAGGGAAATACAAATCAAAACCACACTGAGATACCACCTCACGCCAGTCAGAGTGGCTAAAATGAGCAAATCAGAGAACTCTAGATGCTGGCGAGGATGTGGAGAAACGGGCACCCTCCTACACTGTTGGTGGGAATGTAAACTGGTACAGCCCCTCTGGAAAACAGTGTGGAGGTTCCTCAGGAAACTAACAATAGAACTCCCTTATGACCCAGCAATAGCACTGCTAGGAATTTACCCAAGGGATACAGAAATGCTGAGGCATAGGAGCACATGTACCCCAATGTTCATAGCAGCACTCTCCACAATAGCTAAAACATGGAAAGAGCCTAAGTGTCCATCAACAGATGAATGGATCAAGAAGATGTGGTTTATCTATACCATGGAATACTACATGGCAATGAGAAACAATGAAATCTGGCCATGTGTAGCAACATGGATGGACCTTGAGGGTGTTATGCTGAGCGAAATAAGTCAGGCAGAGAAGGACAAATATCATATGTTTGCACGTATAGGAGGATTAGGAGGAACTTGACGGAGGAACAAGGGGGAGAAGAAGGGCGGAAATGGTGGGGGAAAGGGAGAGAGGCAAACCATGAGAGACTCTTGAATGCTGACAAAAACTGAGGACTGATGGATGTGGGGGGGAGGGGGGGATGGGAATGGAGGAGGGCACTTTGGGGATGAGCACTGAGTGTTATGTAGAAACTAATTTGACAATAAACTATTTGTAAAAAAATAAAAAAATAAAAAAAAATAAAAAAATAAACAGCTGATGCAAAGTAAAAAAAAAAAAAAAAAAAGAAAAAAAAAGAAATGTATGAATGTCTTCATTATCTACCCAATGTGAATAGCCACAGGTGGATTCTCCAGGGCCTGATAAGAAGGGTCCAGAACTTATCTCCCAACATCACTCATTTAACAAAATAATATGATCATAAACAGAAATGATTTTCATAAGCCATTCAATGAAGTTTATCTTGTTCATAGCCTGGTATACGTGCACATGTGCACACACATAGTACATGCATAAGATGGCTAAAAATAAAGAGAGTATGGGTAAAGAATTTTCCATTATTAGAACCACTTACACATTAGTTAACCAAAGTAATCTAAAATGAGGTATTTTTTTCAGTGACTACTTTCTATCCATAAAAGTTTCATAAGCATACAGAATTATAGTTGAATATAGCACCATAAATAGTGAATCAGATAATTATTCCTTATTTTATTTTATTTTTTTAATAGTATTTTTTTAATGTCTTATTTATTTCTAGGAGAGAGAGAGAGAGAGAGAGAGAGACAGTGTGAGCAGGGGAGGAGGGTCAGAGAGAGGGAGTCACAGACTCTGAAACAGGCTCCAGGCTCTGAGCGGGCAGTCAGCACAGAGCCCAACGCGGGGCTCGAACCCACGAACCGCGAGATCATGACCTAAGCGAAAGTCGGACGCTTAACCGACTAAGCCACCCAGGCGCCCCATTTATTCCTTATTTTAAACATGACCCCAAGGGGGCGCCTGCGCCTGGGTGGCTCAGTCGGTTAAGCATCCGATTTCAGCTCAGGTCATGATCTCACGGTTCGTGGGTTCAAGCCCTGTGTCGGGCTCTGTGCTGACAGCTAGCTCAAAGCCTGGAGTGTGTCTTCATATTCTGTGTCTCCTTCTCTCTCTGACCCTCCCCTGTTCATGCTGTCTCTATCTCTCTCTCAAAAATAAATAAAACATTAAAAATTTATAAATAAACATGACCCCAAGATTTCTATAGACCCCACATGTATAGGTAGACATTGAATATATTCATGTAGCACATAAATATTTAGAGAAATGTGTTCCTTCTTAGTTTTTATAAGAATGTGGACATGAAAAGTCAATACTTTCTTAAAAATATCCAAATACCACTTACATTCAGCAGTAAAAAATTAGCATTAATCCACAATCTAAATAAAGGGGTAAGCTTAAAAGAAATGAACTATAGGTAAGAAGTGTTCTCTTCTGGTTTCATCTATTGCATAATTAACATTAAAACACTAAGGGAAATAGCTAAAGAAATTAAAATAATCTAAAAAGACACTACTATCGATTATTTCATTATTTTTCTTATAACTTGTCTATATATACTTTTCACAAATATTTTTCTTATTGCTATATAGTCTTCAGAAGGATCTCATATAATGATTATTCTGTTAAGTTAATGATTTCTAATTCACCTAGCCATTGCTCTATTTGAGAATATTTACATTGCTTCCAATTTCTCACCATTATAAATACCACAATAAATACTTTCATGCATTCTACTTTTTTATCCCCCTTCAATTACTATAAAAAGGAAAGAAGAACATTTTTGTGATTCTTGATATCCATTTGTCAACTTGTTTTTCAAAAGTTTACATCATTTTCCATCACGGTAGCAGTCCTTAAGTATAGTTTTACCAGCACCAGATTTCATAATTTTAAAAAATTTTACTAATGAGGCAAATTGTGTATCTTAATTCCTTGATTATCAGCAAGTTTCAACACTGTATTTTCCTCTTATGTGAATAACAGTCTTTGCCCATTTACCTTCTGGAAATGTTTTTCTTATTAAACTGTGGATGATCTTTATATAATAGGGAAATTAACACAATATACTTCCTATTTAGTAAAGAACATTTTGGGGCACCTGGGTGGTTCAGTTAGTTAAGCGTCCAACTCTTGGTTTCAGCTCAGGTCATGATCTTACAATTTGTGAAATCAAGGCCTGAATTTGGCTCAGGGCTAACAACACAGGAGCCTGCTTAGGATTCATTCTCTCTCTCTCTCTCTCTGTCTCAGAATAAATAAACATTTTTTTAAATGTACCAATGTTTTATTTTTTTATTACTATTTTAGATTATGTGAAATTGAAAATGTTTTATGTTTTATATACTGCATTATCACTGTGTCACATATTGACATTGGCAGTCATCAGACAAATCAATAATATCATGTAGGTAAATACATTTTGGCCTGGTAAAGAGTATTCAGGATGACATTTTCTTAATCTGTCTGGCAAGGAAATCTAAATGTTTTACTATAGATTTTTATTACATTAAACAAAGCAATCAAAGTAACATTTGTAAATGTTTCTTAGTAATGACTTATTCATTTTTCTTAAATAATTGTGTACATTAAGCACTTTCATAAATATTAAAGTCTGAAAGACCATAATTCTAAGCAACAGTGGAAGAACAAAAAATTATTTGCTACTCAGTTCACCTCCATCACTTACTAGACTGTAGTCACTCACCAGCCTGAGCAATTGAAACTCTAACTTCTACATGATGATGAACAGGTCAAGTTAAAAGGCTTTCCAGTTGAGACCTCTCATCTAAAAGTCTGCATACACTCTGTCAGGGGAACATTCACAAAAACCCCATCAATTTGCTTTCAAAGCTTTCCTCCTCCTATACTTTCCAAGTATCAGTGTTCCATTTACATAGAAACCTTGTAAATCACCCTATATTTTCCCTCTCCTTATCAGAATTAGGATTCTTTCAAGTCTACCTCCAAATATGTCCTATAATTGTTCCTTCTGCTTCACCTTTACTAATGCTGCTCAAGTTCAGGTTCTCATCATCTTACACCTGGATTATTACAATAAAACCAATATAACCTCTACATGACCATGAGAGTAATCCCTATCATTTGCATGTCAGATTATAATACTATAATGTTTAAAAAAAGAATTAATACAGTCTTTGGCCTACAGTACCCTTCATGATGGATTCCAGATTATTTGCCTCTCCACTCCTCAACTATACATCCATCCCTTATCTTACACAAGAAACAACAAATCACCTTTAACAGATAGTGCCCTGAACTCACCAGGGAACAGAAATTAGTACTGGTGTATGTTCTGAATAAGAAACATTTTCTTTTAAAATGAGCATCACCTGTGGCAAACTATGAGACTCTGACACATAACAGTTGAGAGAAAATAGAATGATTACTTACAGCTTCATGCAGCTCTTCATGCTGACAGCATGATTTTGGAATGCTAATGGAATCTTCAGGCCCAGAAGTATTAAGTAAGGTCTCTTCCAGCTCAATTTCTTTCTCAAGTTTTACTAACACTGGTGGCTCTACCCCATATCTGAAAAACAATTAGGAGATCTCATCATTCTACATGATGGAACAACTGGAAAACCTTTTTAATGTCTCAGATTGCCAAAAATTCAGGATATCATCACATCATACTATATATTTGGATCACTGGATGCTCCCAAATTTCAGCCAGGGATACCGAAAGTCAGTCACCTTTAAAGTCAGCTCGAGAGTTAGGGTGCCTGGGTGGCTCAGTTGGTTAAAGTCAGCTTGAGAATAAAGACGGGACTGAGCCAGGTATGGAGGACACCAAGCCTTCACCTTCTTATCAAATCCTCTTTGAGTCCAGAGGATTTGCCTTGCCTTGAAGTGCTAAGAGTTTTACATGCTCTTACCCTATTCTTAGTCTAAAAACTTTAAGTAACTACTTTTACAGTTTAATATTAAATGAAGGCAAAGAATATGGGTGAGTAGATGTTGACACATGACACAGCTTACCCAAATAGAACAAAGTTAATAAAAAAATAAAAAGAAGAAATAAGAAACTAGGTTATTTCAATCAAGAATTATTTTCTTTTAGGGATGCCTGGTGGTTCCATTAGTTAAGCTTCCAACTCTTCATTTGGGTTCAGGTCATGATCTCACAGTTCATGAATTTGAGCCCTATGTTGGGTTCTGCACTGACAGCATGGAGCCTTCTTGGAATTCTCTCCCTCTCTCGCCCTTTGCTCTTTCCCTACTCTCTCTCTCTTTCAAAATAAATAAATAAACATTCTTTTAAAAAAAGAAGTATTTTATTTATAGAAAATAGTGTTATATCTAAAATAAAGTAGCTTTTAAAAAGTTTATAACACTGAAATTCTGAAATAATGTGAATACATACCTTGACACAATTCGACCAATTTCTAGAAGACAAAGATATACCTGTCTTGGGTCTTTGTGCAAAACTGTGAAAAAATAAGACCACATATTTTATTTTTTTATGATTTATTTATTTTTGAGAGAGAGAGACAGCACAAGCAGGGGAGGGTCAGAGAGAGACAGAGACACAGAATCTGAAGCACACTCCAGGCTCTGAGCTAGCTGTCAGCACAGAGCCCGATGCGGGGCTCGAACCCATGAACCGTGAGATCATGACCTGAGCCAAAGTCGGACGCCTAACTGACTGAGCCACCCAGGTGCCCCAAGACCACATATTTTAAAGGCCAAAATTAAATAGGGAAATGTACTTCTGGCCTGGAAGAAGTAAAAGAAAAAAATAATGAAGATACTAGGTTTACTTGTATGGAGACTTAGAAAAGACATTTTTATTTTCTCTATATATTATCATCTTCCATAAAATTTTTTAAAACTGGCTAACAAGAAGATGAAAACTTACCAAGTACCTGAATTTGTAGCATTTTAAGTCTAAACACCTCAGAAATAATAACATTAAATTATTTATATTTTAGATCTCTTAACAGGAAATATTATTTGAAGAGAATTATCACTTCAATTTTATTCTAAACTCTCTTTACCTTAGGACTACTTAATGACCTTCTCCAACTTTTTCAAAAACAGAAAAGGAGGAGCACTTCCTAATTCATTCTATGAGTCAATATTACCCTGATACCAAAGTCAGATAAATATATCATAAGAAAACTAAAGACTAGTATCTTTTATGAACATAGATATAAAGATCTTTAATGCAATCTTGACAGACTGAATCCAGAAACAAGTGGGATTTATCCCAGGAATGGAAAGTTGGTCGAACATTTGAAAATCAATCAATATAATATATCATATTAATAAAATAAAGGAAAAGAAACACAATTATCTCAGTAGATACATGAAAAGAATTAGGAGGAGGAGGAGGAAGAATATGAGGAGGAGGAGAAGTAAAGAATTAACAAACTAGGAATAGAAGGAAACTTTATATATCTGAAAATGTCCATCTTTGAAAAACCCATAGTAAACATCATTCTTAATGGTAAAAGACTGAGAATCTTCCTCCTAAGAACAGGGAGAAGATGAGGATGTCCACACACTCTCCTCTTCTATTCAGAATTGTACTGGAGGTTCTAGGCATGGCATTCAGGCAAGAAAAACAAATAAAAGGCATCCATATGGGAAAGGAAGAAGAAAAACTATCTCTATTCATAGATGACATTGTCCTTTGCATAAAAAATCCCTAAGGAATCCCCCCCCCCCAAAAAAGGCAAACAAGCAGGTTCAGTAAAGTTGCAGGACACAAGATTAATATGCAAAAATCATTTCACTTTATATATTAGCAATAAACAATCTGAAAATGTAATTTAAAAGTAATTCAATTTGCAATGCTTCAAGAAGAATAAAGTACTTAGGAATAAATTTAATCAAAGAATTGTAGGACTTTTTTACTGAAAACTACAAAATATTGTTGAAAGAAGATACAAATAAATCCTATGTTCATGGATTGGAAGACATAATATTAAGATGACAATACTCTCCAAAACTGACCTACAGATTCAATGCAATCCCTATCAAAATTCCAACAGCCTTTTTTAAAGAAATGGATAAGCTGATAAAATTCATATGGAGTTGTAAGACACAACAGCCAAAACAAAAACAAACTTGGAAGACTCATACTTCTCAGTTTCAAAACTTACTACAAAGCTACATTGATCAAGACAGTGTGTTACTGGTGTAAGGATAGACATATAGACCTGTGGAATGGAACTGAGCATCCAGAAATAAATCCAGATGTTTATGTTCAATTGATTTTCAAAAACAGAGGCAAGACAACTCAATAAGGAAAAGAACAGTCTTTTCAACAAATGGTGCTAGCACAACTGGATGTCTACATGCAAAAGAATGAATTTAGACCCTTACTTCATAACAGTTACAAAAAATAACTCAAAATGGATCAAAGACCTAAATATAAGGGCTAAACCTATAAAACTCTTAGAAGGAATAAGAGGTAAAAATCTGTGTGACTCTGGATTATGTCATAATATTTTAAATATGACACCAAAAGCACAAGTAATCAAAGAAAAGAGAAACTAAACTTAATCAAAATAAAAACTTTCATGAATCAAAGGAAACTGTCTTGACAGTGCAAGACAGTAAAAAGGCAGGGCACCTGGGTGGCTCAGTCGGTTAAGCGTCCGACTTCAGCTCAGGTCATGATCTCACGGTTCGTGGGTTTGAGCCCCGCATCAGGCTCTCTGCTGACAGCTATCTCAGAGCCTGAAGCCTGTTTCAGATTCTGTGTCTCCCTCTCTCTCTGACCCTCCCCTGTTCACACTGTCTAAAAAAGAAAAAAAAAAAAAAAAAAGACAGTGAAAAGGCAACCCAAAGACTGGGTGAAAATATTTGCAAATCATGTATTTGATAAGGACTTAGCATTCAGAATAAAGAACTCTTACAAGTCAACCAAAAAAGATAAAAGACTCTCCAAAAATGAGCAAAAGATTTGAATACAGATTTCTCCAAAGAAGACAAACAAAAGGCCAATAAACGATGAAAAGATGCTCAACATCACTGGTCATTAAGGAAATGCAAATCAGAACCACAATAAGCCACCACTTCACATCTCCACTAGGATAGTCATGAAAAACAAATAAATAACAAGTGTTGGCAAAGATGTGAAGTTGTGCACTGCCAGTGGGAATGTAAAATGGTACAGCCACTGTGAAAAATTTGGTAGTTCCTCAAAAAGATAAACATAGAATTACCATGTGATTCAACAATTCCACTTTTGGTATATCCCTGAGAGAATTAAAAACATACGTTCGCTCAAAAACTTGTATACAAACGTACGTAGCAGCATTATGCATAATGACCAAAAAGAAAAAACAATCAAAATGTCCATCAGATGATAATGGATTTTAAACAATCCAGTATATCCACACGTGGAATATCATTCAGTCATAAAAAGGAGTGAAGTACTGTTGACTACTACAACATAAATGAAACATGTTAAAAGAAAAAAGCCGGACACAAAAAGCCACATATGTCATGCAAATGTCCAGAATATGCAAATCCATAGAGAAAGAAAGTAGATTAGTGGTTGCCAGAAGATGAAGTAGGCGGTCATTGGGACTACTTGTTAATAGCTATGAGTTTTCTTTTGTGAATGATGGAAATGTTCTGGAATTAATTAATGGTGATTGTTGCATAACACAGTGAATATACTAAAAACCAGTTGAGTGTACATTTTGAAATGATGTTTTTTATGTTACATGAAGTACATATCAATTTTTTTAAATGCTATAAACAAAACCTAATATGCTTAAAAATGGTTAAGATGCTAAGTTTTGTTCTGCATACTTTAGCACATTAGAAATTTAAAGGAACCCAAATGCTAACCTAATGATTCATAGATCCTTAATGAAAAACAAAGTCAGACAAACAAAACTCCTGATCATTAGAACTCAGCTAAACGCACCAATATGGTAGTTGTGGATCATCTACCTTCTGTTCTTGTCCTTAGAGTTAAAAACTCCAGGAATCTTCTGAACTCTAACAGAATAATGGTATATGTGATGAATAATATGCATACTGACTTGCCCAATGGAAATGGCAACTGTTCTTTGATTTATGAATATCATCTATTATATACCCCAAGAGTATACTGGAAGAGTATACTCTTCCATAAGAGTATAGAAATAGCACATCCAAAGAGTATATCCAAAGCAATAGAAAGATCTATATTTGAATTTAACATTCATACCCAAAGGAATTTGTCCTGCAATTTTTATTAAAAAACTTTAATAAAACAGGTTTATTTTTTATTAAACAAGTTTAATAAAAAACTTGTTTCTCTAAGCACTTAAAAGTACCTTAAAATAGCATATTTGCTTTTTTAATTGCTTTCCCTAGCAAAATGTAAAAAAATTAAGAGTCTTATCTCTGAAACCTTTAGAGAGTAAAAACACTAAGTCATCAGTTCAATGCTTAGAAATGAATTAATGTTACTGGTAGTGCTTTATTTAGTCTTATACTGACCTTCAGGACAGTCAGAAGATGCCTTCTACTTAGAATGAGAAATATACAATTTTATATCCTTTCAGAAACAATAAATTAGAAAGTAGAGACTTCAAAGCATTTCCTCTTCCCTTTGATTTCTACAAGCTGTAGAGGTCATTAAATCAACCTCATTGTCAATAACAATCAGCACACCTGGATTAAAGCAGGGTGCAAAATAGGGGTAAAAAAGTAACTCATTACATTTTTTTTTAATTGTATAGGTATTGTGTAGGAATATCCAGAGGCATAGCAAATGGGTAGCAGTGGGAGCAGCCTACCCCACGTGCAGGCAACAAGGGTGTGCACAGTCAGAGAATTTTATTTTATTTTGTTCTTTTTTTAGTTTATTTTCTCAGTTTATGTTTGATGATGGAACAACGAACAGATGGTTACCTAATAACCTGAGTTTTTGCTTCAGGCAGTGGAACTAGTTACTTTTATTTAAGTTCAGATAATTTTAAAACAATGATAAAACCATCTAAAAATTGGTTTCTTATTATTCACCATGAACCAGCAATTCTATACAATGTCAGCAATAAAATACTTGTCTCTACCAGGGCACATTACTACTCCCATAACCGCTACGAACCCACGGTATGCTACTGTTCCTATCAAAACATTATAAATTCTATGTGTGTATGGATATACATATATAACTGCTTTGAGGAGATAAATATATAGTAATCTAAAACTTAGATACCTAACACTTAACACTTTCGTCTGCACAAATGCTTCTACTGACTTAAAGTACATGAGACAATATGCCAGTAATTCTTCAGTAGAGCATGGCTTTTTAAAATGAATTGTCAAAAACATGAATCCACTTAGATAATCAATTTGTCAGCTGCTGTCTGTTGTGTATACGGTAAATCTAAATCCATGAGCATAAACTACTTGGCCTTCTGTTATTTCTATAGTTATCCAGTTAAAAAGAAATTACTAATAATTTAGACTTGGTAGAGTAACTCTGAATGAAAAGATTCATTAATAAAGGATTAATCCAGAACCTTCCCTTGACCAAGTAAAATATTTCTACAGTATTCTAAATATATGAGATCTTTAACTATAAATGAAAAGCTTAATATATATGGTTTAGAATCTGATTCTCCAATTGTTTTACATATAGTTAAAGTATAAATTTTTCTAAGAAAATGAGATAGAGAATTTGAGTCCTTATTTGGAAAAAAAATTAGATGTGAGGCATACAAAAATACCCTAAAAAAACAGTAAACACAATGATAACAACACTTACCTAAACCTTCAGATTCAAAGAGGTAAGTCTCATCAACCCCAATGTGCCTGCACCAGTGAAGGAAGTTCGCAGTATTGTCTCTAGCAAAGAATGAACCTGAGGCAGCGTCTTTCTTACAGGGCACTTTTCTCATTGGAAAATTCTGGAAAAGATGAAAGAATAACTTTGAAAATGCATGATGGGGTTTGGGGGGAGGAAAAGGGGGGTGATGGGCATGGAGGAGGGCACTTGTGGGGATGAGCACTGGGTGTTATATGGAAACCAACTTGACAATAAACTATTTTTTAAAAATTTTTCATTAGATATCATTATAATATTACTAAATAAATGTTTCATATATTGAATGTTACTTAAAAAACACATTAGGAAGAAAAGATATTTTCAAAAATGATTTTGTTTTACTTTAAATATATTTCAGAAAATGATTCCTAGAAAATCAATCTAGTCAAAATCAACAGTAGGATCAATCACCTCTAACCTCTTTCTTTTTAAAATGACACAAGGGTCTTAATTAAAATAAAAAATGATGGTCTAATAATTCCAAAGCACATCTCTAAATGTCTCTCCATACACAGGTAAATACAAACACAAAATTATCGCTATGTTAAAGCTTAATGGACACACTCATTTTTGTTCACTTCCTTATTTGCAGATTCATAAATATGGTTCTGATTTTCTTGGAGAGACTGTCAAATAAGGAAGTAGTAACCCATTCTTAATTCAAGTTCTTTGAAAATTGATGGTCTACGTTTTATAGAATCCTAATTCTTTGACTGTCTGGACCAAGAATAGTCAGATAATCTTGCTGAGGCAGAGCAGTTTTAGTTCTGTTTTAAATTTTTACTTGAAAAAGTAATTTATGTGTAAGGTTTTTTAAAATGCAATAGGCACAATAGGGGTATGTCTTTCTCCCACTTCTATGGCTCAGTTCCTCTCTCTTCCTAGAGGTAACCACTATTACCAGTTCCTTATATACCCTTCCTGTTGCTACACTTCCCAGAATTAAAACAGCCTTGTGAGTGTTTGTAATTGTCACCTGAAATCTTCTCCCTCACATGGCAGTAAGCATTGCTATGCACAAGGGTATACATTTCTGCATCTACAGGATGCCACATAAACACGCGACGCTATCATCTGTTTTGTGTCTGTGTACAGACACACTTAACAGTAGGCTGTAGGCGTCTTTTGGAGTGAAAAGAAAGAGATTTAAATAGTCATTTCTAATGAATGGATAATGCATTCCACTCTGTTTAGGTACCATAATTAATTTTTAACAATTTCTTTATTGATAAGCATTTAAGTTGCTCTTAGCTTTTTTTGCATAATCATTTTTGTGAATTTGTGGTTATTTTTCTAGAATAAATCCCTAGGAGAGTTATGGTATGTATCAAAAGATGTGTCTTATTTTTAATGTGATGTCTATCACCCACTGCCTCCCTGCAAGACGATACCATTTTATATTTCTACTAACACTGTGTGAGTGTCCAGACCCCACATTCACAGACTCCAGATCTCATCAGTAAAGTTTGATGAAAAGAAGAAACCTCATCTAGTTCAAATCATGAATTTAAGCTCAACAAAAGAAATTGTCTAAAAAAATTATTATTCATTAAACCCAATTATAGAATTTACCACCAAGGCAATATATAGAGAATATAAAGATGATGGTAATAACAATAACGGTAGTAATAATAATAATAGCCCCCAACTGTGTACTAGGGACCGACATAAGCTTTTTTCTCATTTAACTCTCACAAGTGAGAGTATTATTCTCAGGAACAGCTAATCAGTTACTGGATACTTACTTACACTAAGTGCGCTAAGCTAAATACCATCTATACATTATCTCATTTAATTTCACCAAATCCTCACAAATAAATCTAACAAGGTAAATGTGAATACCTCCATTTTTCAAGTTAGAATATTTTTTCAGATGCTCAAAAAGATTAGGTAAAATATCTAAGGTCTTGTAGATAACTGGGTGGAAGTTCACAACCTTTCAGATATGATAAGAAATGTACATAAACAAATAAATAGGGACAAAAGTATAAAGTAACTACTGTCAAACATGTTCTTACTTCAGGTTCTTCAGAGTTGCATGTTTTCACCATGTTTTGAAGAACATCAATCAGTTGGCATAATAGTACTCCATTATCAAGTTCTTCCAATAATTGTTCTGCCTTAACTTCAATACCTAAAAACATATTTCGAAGTTATAATTCTACTAGAACAGTAAATTCAAACTATATTGTTAAAATTTAAATGTAATTAGATTATAGCTGGAACACGAGGCAGATATTAGATCAGACTTCAAGTATTCACTCTTAGAAGCTATAGTTAACATAGGTAATGCCAAACTACATGAATGACAACTGAAACAAAAATATCTGTGATGTAGAAGTAAAGGAAAAAGAAAATGACCATTAATTTCATTTTTTTAAAAAAACAGAACGTTTTATTTTTCAATATTAACTGTTAAGGTTGTTTTGATTTACTGAGCATTACTACTGCTTGCACAAGAAAAAGATTCTAAGTAAGATAGACATTGTTACAATTTTAAAATTACAGGTAATAACATAACCACCACCCAGGGAATATCAACTTTTCACCTCTCAGATCCTTTCTTTAGAACCATTATTATTATATAACTAACTTAAGAAAAATTATCCAAATGATCAGAATGATAATTGTGCACTGTTTTTAATTATCTTGAGAAGGCCATAGATAAGCTTTATATACTCCTTTTCACAAAAGCCTTGGAATGCTACATGAAATTTTGTATTTAAAAGGGAGCTTTTTGGGGGCACCTGGGTGGCTCAGTCAGTTAAGCATCAGATTCTTGATTTCAGCTCAGGTTCATGGGATGGAGCCCTGTGTCAGGCTCCAAGCTGACTGCACAGAGCCTGCTTATGATTCTCTGTCTCTCGGTCTCTGTCTCTCTCAAAATAAATAAGCATTTAAAAAAAGAAAGAGAGCTTTTTTTTCTGGGGAGAAAGTTCAGAGCACTCCTAGATTCTAATTGAGTAAAGAAATATGATGCCAGATATTCTCCAACCTGACACTTCCTCCTAGGGTTTAAATGCTTCTATTCCTCAATGCCTAGAAATAGCAATCATTTTAACTATAGTATATATTCCACTCAGAATTTCATGCATAATGCTAGATTAAGGTGGGGGAGGTCAGTAATACAGACCCCCCAAATCAGACCTATGTACTTAAAAAAAAAAAAAGACTTTAACATTAACAGTTAAAATGCTGATTATTCAAAGATCACTACTGACCTCCTCTTTTAAGCCTCAAACTTCTTTACTATCCAAGTCCTAAGGTTCTGGGTGAACTGGAATATTCCCTAACTAGAGTGTAAGTTTGTTGAGAACAAGGATATCAAATATTCCATTCACTAAATTATCCCCAGGCTCTAAAACAATAACTTCTCAACAAAGAGTAAGATTCTCAATAATTACTAAATAAAAAATATAATTTTGAGTATCTTTTCAAGCCTTACCTAATAAACCAGACAGCCATATTGACAGATCTTCTTGCATGGGCAACAGGGTGGCTTCATGCCTCACAGCTATCCACTCATCATATTGACAAACATCAGCCAAACCTGGCCCATGTCTGGGGGTCAGAGGACTCCGTGGACTTAGAGGCAGGTCTTCTCCAAACCACACCTGGAGAAAACACCAACCTTTTTAAAAAGTCAGCATAACCCACATCTATATTTAAATGATGAATTATAGACCATATATAATATACACATATACAAAACTGCAGCTATTCACAGAAAGTTTATAAACCAGAAGTAAACTATTAATCTAGATACTCGAGATACTTTCATTCAATACTGTGATAAATATAAATGAATCTCCAGTCAATGAATTGATATCAAACCAATAGGATGAAGGTCAACAAATAATATTTTTCCTTCACTTGCTAGCTAAGTTTAATAAATTACTTGATCAGAGCCTCAGCTTCTCAGCTCTAAAATGGGTTAAGATACAGATTTGTAGTGTCGAGCATTGAGCCTAGCAGTATTTGTTATATAATGTATAAATGAATGAATAAATGCATAAATGACATTTTATAAACTTCTGGTCATAATAACAGCATTATGTTAAAAAAATGTCTAAATAATCTGGTATGTCAACTGATTTTTGCATGGCCCATAATCTAAGAATGGTTTTTACACTGTTTTTCTACGTTTATTTATTTATTTTTTTTGAGAGAGAGAGAGAGAGCAAGCTGGGGAGGGGCAGAGAGAGAGGGAGAGAAAAAGAATCCCAAGCAGGCTCCATACTTTAATCCCAAATCAGCATAGTGCCCGAGGCAGTGCTTGAACTCACAAACCATGAGACCATGACCTGTACTGAAATCAAGAGTCAGATGCTTAACCAACTGAGTCACCCAGGCACCCCAATTTTTATATTTTAAAACGGCTATTATATAAGTACCTACATAATAGCCTCTACTTTGCCTATTAACTCATAAAGCCAAAAATATTTACTAGCTGGCCAATCCCTCGTTAAGAATAAAAATGGACAGAAACGTACTATCAATCCAAAACTCAAAATGTAATTAGATATACTTTAATATAAGATTACTTACAGAAAAGACTATCATTTCTCAACTCAGGAAGGGGTATTTGAGCCCAAGTGAAGTGATGAAGGGTTCTCATAGGAGGGAAATTTAAAATGGAGGATCAGAGCTTGAGTGAGATGAAAGAGTGTCCACACATGAGAAAAGCCTTGTGCACAGTATCAGAACCTGAGTAGGATGAGGGTGTCCAGAGGGGAAGATGGGGGAACATTCCAGTGCAGGGTGTCAGAGCCCAAGTGAGATGAGAAAGCCATCAATGCAGGGAACAACAATGGGAGAGTGGTTACATTCACAGAGAATGGGGGTCAATTTTCTCACTGCGAAAGAAGAGAGGTACAACTCTTCTATGGAATGAGAGAAAACTAGAATGAATGAAATCCTATGATGTCAGGAATATCTTTTACCAGAAAGCAAACAAGGGCTCAAAGAATGATCAGGACATACCAAAACGATATAGAAGTTAGCATAAAGGGACTTCTACTGGCTAAATCAAGAGCAATTTGAGCATCAAACAATGATATAAATGGATTATAAAACATTAAGATAAAAAAACTATTAGTTTCATACAGATATAAATATATGAATAAATTGGGATTTTAATGAGGAATGAGTGTTTTTTCTTAAATTTTTAATGTTTTATTCATTTTTGAGAGAGAGAGAGAGAGACAGCATGAGCAGGGGAGGGTCAGAGAGAGAGGGAGACACAGAATCTGAAGCAGGCTACAGGCTCTGAGCTAGCTGTCAGCACAGAGCCCAATGCGGGGCTTGAACCCATGAACCGCGAGATCATGACCTGAGCCAAAGTCGGACGCTTAACTGACTGAGCCACCCAGGAGCCCCAAGGAATGAGACTTTTATATAGTTTCAAAGTACTTCCCACAAAATGCTTGTTACAAAGAGAAGAAAGAACTTTACAGCAGGGAAACCTGACAGATAGCAACTTAACCAAGTGACAAAAGTAAACAACATCAATAATGGGACAAACCAAAATCACATTCTACCTGAAAGGATACAAAGAGAAAACACAATATCCCTCTGTGATATTCCTGACCTGACAAAGATGCATAACTTGAATCTAATCATGAGAATACAATAGGCAAATCCAAACTGAGAGACATTCTACAGAATAATTGGTCTATAATATTCAAAAGTGTTAAGGTCATTAAAGAAAGCAAATGACAGTATCTCACTGTCTAGATACTGTTCTAGACTGAGACTAAAGTCTAGACAACTAAATGTAGCATGTGACTCTAAACTAGACATCATGGGAGCAACTGGCAATACTTGAATGTGCTCTGAGTATTGAATGGTAGTAGTACTGTACCACCTGGTTCCAATTATTTCATTGCAGTTCTGACAGGAGGATGTCCTGATTTGTGAGAAATGCACACTAAAGAATTCAGAGGTAATGAGTCATTAGATTAGCAATTTATGCTTAAATGGTTCAGCAAACAAATATCTCTTTTCCACACTTAAAGGCTACTTTTCAAGCTTGTGATTACTTTAAAATAAAGGGTTTTTTAAATATTTAAAAACAAAAGAGGTATGAGTATAGGTAATACCAAGTGAATCTAGTCCCTTCTGGATTTTTAAATGTAGATCATTTTCCTGCTAAAATATATTAAACTTATTGAGGTTTATTTAAGACAAGTCTTACTACACCAAATCAAAATCCACAAAACCACTGTTAATACAGACAGACTTTGGAGGGGAATAAAAAAGAAAGAGCTGTTTCCAAACTCCTATTATGAGAAACAAACACATTTTAAAAAACTCCCAAAGTCAAAGAAAGAAAATGAACACAAGAGGTGACCAGTAGTAGTGAAACTCAATAAATATCCAAAGACAAACAAACAAACAAAAGAAAATCCTATAACTTACTTAAGGGCCATCATTTCATGAACTAAGGGGAGAGACTGGGGAATGAACTCCTAAATATATATTCTATAAAGTTTTAGGAAAAAGATGAGATGTCTTTTTTGTTTCTCTGAATTCTCTTAAAATTATTTCAAAGGAAGTATAGCAAAGATGTACTACCTAAATCTTCCTTTCATAAGCATGTCTTATTCCTGTTTGTAATCCCAGAACTCAATATAAGACACAGTACATGGTACTAAGTAATATATTTGTTGAGGAATTGAGGATATTAGCAAACAACTCTTTGTACCATCAAAATCAAGATGCATCTCACATTAGAGGGTATTTCATAATCAACAGAATGTAATTTGTGTTTTAACCATGTGGCTGAGCTGAAAAAAGTCACAGCAGTTGCAAATGCTTGTCAAGGAAAGATGTGCATTAATTAGTTAGAAAGGTGGTTTTGAAAAAACCTGTGTGAAAACGAAGAAGTTAATATTAACTAAAGTCATTCTAATTTCTTGCCACATTAGAGAGAACAGTACTTGGATTCTCCTACTATTGCCATAGAAAACTCTATAATAACCTGGGCTGGTCAGCACCATATTAATGTTATTAAAAGTTAGATGTAAATAGCAAAAACTGTCTGTATAAAGGATGTTCTCAAACATGTGAAAGCTGTCATATTGCAAAGGTTTTTATTCTTAAATAGTTTATGGTCATGTTGGTTTCCATATAACACCCAGTGCTCAGCCCAACAAGTGCCCTCCTCCATGCCCATCATCCCCCTTCCCCCACACCCATCAGCCCTCAGTTTGTTCTCAGTATTCAAGAGTCTCTCATGGTTTGCCTCCCTCCCTCTTCCCACCTATTTTTCCCCTTCTTCTCCCCCATGGTCCTCCGTTAAATTCCTCCTAATCCGCTTATACGTGCAAACATATGGTATCTGTCCTTCTCTGCCTGACTTATTTCATTCAGCATAACACCCTCAAGTTCCATCCATGTTGCTACAAATGACCAGATTTCATTCTTTCTCATTGCCATGTAGTATTCCATGGTACAGATAAACCACATCTTCTTGATCCATTCATCCATTGATGGACACTCAGGCTCTTTCCATGTTTTGGCTACTGTTGAGAGTGCTGCTATGAACATTGGGGTACATGTGCCCCTATGCATGAGCACCCCCGTATCCCTTGGGTAAATTCCTAGCAGTGCTATTGCTGGGTCATAGGGGAGTTCTATTGTTAATTTTTTGAGGAACTTCCACACTATTTTCCAGAGGGGCTGCACCAGTTTACATTCCCACCAACAGTGCAGGAGGGTGCCCATTTCTCCACATCCTCGCCAGCATCTAGAGTCCTCTGATTTGCTCATTTTAGCCACTTTGACCGGTGTGAGGTGGTATCTCAGTGTGGTTTTGATTTGTATTTCCCTGATGAGGAGGGACATTGAGCATCATTTCATGTGCCTGTTGGTCATCTGGATGTCCTCTTTGGAGAAGTGTCTGTTCATGTTTTTTGCTCATTTCTTCACTGGATTGTTTTTTGGGTATGGAGTTTGGTGAGTTCCTTATAGATTTTGGATATTAACCCTTTATCTGATATGTCATTTGCAACTATCTTTTCCATTCCGTCGGTTGCCTATTAGTTTTATGGATTGTTTCCTTTGCCGTGCAGCTTTTAATCTTGATGAGGTCCCAATAGTTCATATTTGCTCTTGATTCCCTGGCCTTTGGGGATGTGTCAAGTATGAAATTGTTGTAGTTGAGGTCAAGGAGGTTGTTTCCTGTTTTCTCCTCTAGGGTTTTGATGGCTTCAGGTCTTTTATCCATTTTGAGTTTATTTTTGTGTATGGTGTGCAAAAATGATCTAGTTTCATCTTCTGCATGTTGCTGTCCAGGTCTCCCAGGACCATCTCTGAAAGAGGCTGTCTTTTTTCCATTGGATACTCTTTCCCACTTCATATTGCAAAGATTCTTAATCCATAGGTAGTCTATAGATGAACTTGAGTATGTATGTATGTATGTATGGCCTTTTCTCGGTTCATAGCTTTTTGCCAAATTCACAAAGGGGACTATGACCCGAAAGATTAGGAATTATTGTTCATTTTTAGACTGTATGTCTATTTACTAATCAGAATGAAGGATATAAATTTTAAAAAGAGGGACAAGGAAGATCTTTTTTAAAAAAGTTTATTTATTTATTTTGAGGGGATAGGGAGAGCAGAGAGAGAGAGAGAATCACAAGCAGGGTCCATGCTCAATCCTACAAACTGTGAGATCATCACCTGAGCTGCAATCAAGAGTTGGATGCTTAACCGACTGGGCGACCCAGGCGCCCTAAGGGGCAAGGAAGATTTTAATTAATAAATTAATTAGAAATCAATTACTAAATTAATCAAGTACTAAATTAATAAGAAATCAATTGATAGGCTCCTGCATGGCTCAGTTAAGCATCGGACTCTTGATTTGGGCTCAGGTCATGACCTCATGGTTCATGGGTTCGAGTCCCACATCAGGGCTCTGTGCTGACAGTACCTGCTTGGGACTCTCCACATATCCCTCTTTCTGCCCCTAACTCACCTTCTCTCTCTCAAAAATAAATAAACTTAAAAAAAATAAGAAATCAATTGATCAGCTATCTGCTGGATGTCTCCTCTCTACAAGGCACTTATGAATAACTACATGACCATCTTATACAATTAGCAGAGAAAGAGGTGAAAATCCTACAAAATTCTCACACTCATCAGGGAGAGAAGCAAAAACATCCGTGAGAGATGTCAAGAGTACTCTTGTAAAGAATTAATAAATACGGATCTGTAGAATCTGGATCAGAGGAGGTTTCATAGAATTATAAAACAAAACTATGAAGACAATTACCAAGTTAAGAAAATATTAATGGCATCTGAAAGAATGAGAAAAATATGGCCAATGTGGCAATGATATAAAGCATACCATAAGGAATCAAGAAATATAATGAACATGAAACTAATGACATTTCTGAGACTTGGGTAAAAAGAGGACAAATAGAAATAATCAGATAAAAAATGCTAATAAAAAAAGTAATAAAGGAGTTTTGAGCATAGTCAGTGTGGGTTTGAGAGGACTCAGAGGGCAAGAACAAGACCTTCTGGAACCCTGCCATGGACTCCCAAGTCCCAAAAGGAAAAGAGTATAATAGAACTCTTTATTAACAGAGTGGAGGATACAGCTGCATACACAGGAGGGAGTATAAGCAGGATCATGTTCAGAGTTGTTAACATTTGATAAATAAATCCTCTTCTCTAGGCTCCACTTACCGCTATCTTTCTAAGAAAGAAAAGAAAAGAAAAGAAAAGAAAAGAAAAGAAAAAAAAAGAAAAGAGACAGAAAGAAAGACAGAAAGGGAGAGAAAAAGAGGGATGGGGGAAAGAGAGAGAGAGAGAGAGAGAGAGAAAGAAAGGGGAAGAAAAAAGAGAAGAAAAAAGAAAGACTTTCACAACAAAAGTATAATCTCCAGTTTTATATCTGGAGAATCTTGTTGTACCAATGACACAACAAAAATTCGTGTCTACTGTGCAACGTACATTCTAGTAGGCACTTTGCTCATGATCTCTCATTGATTCCATTGATTTCCTCACATCGACCCTGAAAAATAAGCGCTATTATCTTCACCTTAGAGGTAAGGAAGCAGAGACTCTGAGAGGTAAAATAAATTGCCAGAATCTCACAACCAAGACTGGCAGACCCAGAATGAGAAATGATTGATTGTAAAGCTCTCACATTGCAAGGCAAATTTTGTTATCAGCAGCTTCATCTTTATAGGTAGAATTTCAATGTCATTTTTATCTTTAAGATTCAAGCATGTTCTATTTATATCAAAAGAAAACATTTAAAAGAATATAAAAACAATAGAGCAAATACCAACTCTGGACATCATTCAAATTTAAGATTATTCTGGTTTGTCTATTTATCTCCATCTTGCCTTCCCTCACCAAAAAGCAAACAAAGAATCACTTTAAATTTTAAGTTTTCATGCCTCATCATTTACAGTCATTACAGGGCACAGGCACAATTATCTAAAATAAATAATTTATAATTATTTTCATTGAGAGCTCTTTTAATTACAAATACATACTAAATTGTAAGGAGAGGAAAACTAAAAAATATCCCAATTCTCTTCCATTGGTAGTATAAGATGGACCCATCAATTCTAAGAAATTTTTGAGTCTTACAAATATTTAGTATAAATGAAAAGTTAAAATTAAAATCTTTTCAGAATTAGAAACTTAAAATATAGTAAATCCTGTTATTAAAATTATACTTTAAAAATCAGTACAATAAACACATTTTGTGATAATTTTAATATTTTACTAATTATCATAATTTTATTATAATCTCACAATTTAAATACATATTTTTCCAAGAAAAAACACTTACTTGAATTGCAGGTTGCATGGTCATCTACGTTGAAATGAAAATGCTTTTCTGAAAATAGAACAAAAACATTAATATGCAAATAATGGTAGCTTTCCTACTCCTTACACCCCCAAATTACAAGGAATCTGCTTTAATCTCCCATTTGACTGAAAATCTAAAACTTTTTCTTTTATTTGAAATAGTTTGACTATAGAAGAATTCAATTATCACTCCTAGCTTTTCACTTCTAAAGTATTCCTCATCTGAAAGAGGAAAACCTGAAACACATTTAATATGTAGTTTCTGGCACTGATGTCAAAGTAATTCTTGAAGCCATCTGGGTAGTAAAATAAGACTGACAATAAAACTTAGCACATATAAAAGTTTTCCAAAAATTTCCCCTGTAAACATAATGTAAACTGTAATACAAACATAAATATAATAACTGATACTGAAGTCAAGTATCTTTCAACTCATAAAGAGATTGTATACGTTCATCTGGACTTTGTATAACCTCACAGGCTTAACCATTAGCTTCTTCTGCCTGACAACAAGGTAATAGACAGGCATCAGTTTTAACTATGAAACAATACTCAGTGCTTCCTAAGCTATTTTCTCCACAAGGTGATAAAGACCAAAAAAAAAGAAAAAAAAGAAAAAGCTATTTTAAGTCCAAAGTACTATTTTTGAAATCTATAAGAAAAAAATACAATTTTAATTAATTAAGTTAGGTTAATACAAATCTATAATGTATTTTTAGAAAGAAACAAAGGTAAGGAGTTTAAAAATACTCAGACTAACAGACTAACAAAGGTAAAGAGTTTAAAAATACTCAGACTAACATAGACTATATAAAACCTAGGAATATTGATTGCTTATAGCAGCATAATATACTAGTCTATCTTTTATTGTAAACCACCATTAAAACATTCTAATAAAAAATATAAATTGGTTTATAAAACTATAATGCTATCAATTTCCAAGGAAAAGTTATTTTCTCCTCTAAGTTATACTAAACATACCACTTTCCTTTCAGGAACATTTCTTCTGGTACCAAAGTTGAACTTGAGCTAAATCTAACAAAGGTCTAATATTACATCACGTTGTTTTTTGCAGGAAGGCAAAGGACAGCAGAATGTCCTTTTTGATGTCATTTTTCCTTCTGTCTACCATAGCAAAAGGCCAAAGTACAATTGAGCATTACTAATAAGCTTGTTATGCTTCCCACGAGCTAATTCAGTGGGGAATACATTTTCCTTTAGTATAAATAATCCTTTGTCCTCAACAAAGATCCACAGTAAGAAGCTTCCGAGACTATTTTTTAAAAATGCAGCAAAGAAGCTGTTCCCATTAAAATAAGGAGTCCCACATAATCAGACAAGAGCTTTAACAGTTGGAACTGCCAACCCAAAACAAAAGAAGGCCTAAATTATAAGGCGTGTGCAAATCAAGAACAGTGACACATTCACAAAGAAGCTATCACAAGAAATGTTTAGTAGTTGCACTTTTTATGGAAAATCCAACAAAATTCATTTTATGAAAGAAATGAATTTGTGCACAACCTTCAGTCACTTGAACTTTAGCAGAGGAGTGTCTTATACATGTATTTTCAAAACATTCTTCTTGTGTAATGCAAAGAACTACTTTTAAGATGACAAAGATATATCCACCTGAATTAATTACCTTTAAAAAGAAATCCTTTAATAAAATCATACTCAGATAAGCTATAATGTATCTTCATATATGAAAGACTATCACATATTCAAGTATATGCTTTTATTGAGTAACTTTATAAGCTGAGATTGTATCAGTAAATCATCAATTAATGAGTGCTCATCATGTCCCAGATACTAAGAGCCAGTTATAGATATTTTCTAGTCATTTACTATTCTCTTTCTAAATCATTTTAGTGTCTCAGGCATTTAATCCTAAGAGTAGCATCTATTCTATAGCTGGCCCTGACCCCAGTCTGCATCATAATTTTAATTCTTGCTTCTCACTCATTTTATTACCTATTTTCCCTTCTCTATAGTTCCCTAAAAGTCTCAGTCTCTATTTTATTCTCATATAAACCAATTATGCTGAATCAGCAACATTTCATTTTTGGAGCTGCATCTTAATTAGAAAATTATTGCCTTTATTTTGTTTTGTTTTTGTCTTTATTCCTTTTGCAGAGAGCCCATTTCAATTCTTTGCCAACTTGTGAAGTCTCTTCCCTTAGATTTGGGCAATAAGATCTCTCATGTGACCAAGTCCAAGCTATACTGTAACCCTGCTGGGAATCATTCACAAGACCAGCAGGCTTATGCAGACATCATATGGGAAGAGTATATACTTAGCTTTTTAAATCTGGGGAAAACAAAACACAGAAGGCATTCATCCACCTGAAACTTGAACAATAATTGTACCTAACTCACTTACTCATCTTAGAAACAGGGTCAGTCATGAGGTCCTCAAGATCATTTATGTAAACCTCTTCATACCAATTTGACTTCAGATCTTGATGGGCAAAAATGTCAACCTGTTGAACTGATCCTTTGTCCCATAGCTGTAGGCTCTGAAACTGAGTACATTTTTACTCCTCACCCACATTATAAGATATGGGTGAGAGAGCATAAAGAGGCAAAGCTCACCCCTGATAAAAATCAGAGAGCCAATTTAGAAAAGAATGGTGAAAAAGCAAAGAAATAAGGTAAGTTTTTTCAGAAAAATAATGACATTAACTGCCACTATACCACATACAGTACTCAGACACCAGATTCTTGTCAAGATACATAAGCTGCAGGGATATGATAAATTGCAAAGTTGGGATAGTGGGATAATGTTTACTGCTGAGGAGAGGGAGGAAGATAAGATTGAGGAGGAATAACTTTCAACTGTACCTGTAAGGTTTTATTTCAAGATAAGTGGTGAGAACATGGGTGTTATACTAGTCTGTACACCTTTCTGTATGTCAAAAACCATGTCATCATTTTTTAAGGCTTCATTTAGAAAAATATTTGTAAAATATATCCTCCCTGATTTGGTCAGATGGAAAAACTTTCTTAGCTTTAAAATTTTGAGTTAAATATTTCCTAATTGCCTACTATGGAAAATAGAAATGCTAGAGCCATACCAACATATTTCATTTTTTTAAAAAGTGTTCTAAAACAACTCACCATAAAGACACCAGCTATGGTAGTAAAAAGTAGCAGACACATCTGGTTTGAATTTCAGGTCTGGCATATTAACTATATGACCTTGGGATTCTTAACTTCTCTGATTCTTAGTGTTCTCACTTGTAAAATAGGATACCACCACCTCCTTCATATGGCTATTATAAAGATTAAGTGAGATGATACATATAAAGTACCTGACATATAACTAGCGCTTAACAAATTAGTTGGTATGATTAATACTATGATGAGACATACTTACAGTTTATTTAATATAACTTATAAAATTAAAAAGAGATAAGGCCAATAACACTCAGAAATCATTAAACATAGTATGGATAGCTTATTTAACTAACATAAATAAATATAGTTATAAGTGAAAGTAAAAACTTTAAAATGCCCATGTCATGATTGGGAGGATACTTACATATGAATTTGTGACTCACAATTCTCTTTGTTAGAATAAAAGTCTTTAGGAATTTATCTAACATAGGCCCTTTGCTCCATTCAACCTATCTCCTCACTGTTCTCCCACATTTTGTTCATTTTTGTAGCTATTTCATGGTTCAGGCTGTATGCTTTTCTATGTGGTGTACACACATTCATTTATTCAACAAGCATTTACTCTTCCACTGTAGTGAACTAGCACCATAGGCAAGAAACACAGTAATGAATGTAACAGATGTGTGACTGCCCTTATAGAACAAATACACCAGTTAGGAAGGTTTAAAAAAAAAAAAAAAAAAAAGCAACCACACAAATGAATACAGTGTTAAATCGTGATAATTGCTTTGAAGGAAAGAACAGGGAAGGAAACAGCTACTTTAGACTTAGATGGAATGATTAGAAATGGTTTTGCCAGAGGGAAAATGTGAATTTGAAGAATGATAGAAATTAGCCAGGGAAAGAGAGGAAGAGTCCTAAGTATAGAGAATAATTTTTCTAAAGACTTTAAAGACAGAATGTGGCACATTCCTAGAACTGAAAGAAGCAGGTATAGCTGAAGCATGGAGAACGTGGGGCTTAGGATGGAGTTGAAACATTAGGCAGCAGCCCCATCACACAACATGTTGAGGAAATTGGATTTTATTCTGGGTGCAGTGAGAAACCATGGAGGAGCTTTAACTAAGGGAGAAGTGATCTAACTCAGTTTCAAAAGAACTCTCTGAAGGGGAGAGAGGAGCATGGGAGTGAAATAGTAATGGATTTGTTTAACAGAGAAAGGGAGAAGGAAACAGGGGAGTGGATAGAGATGTAGGAAAAAGAACCAGGGGAAACAATGAGAGAAGGAGCCAAAGAAAGGGGAAGAAACAGTGAGGCCATATAGGAAATGCAAGCATATAGGAAATGAGATGGAGAAGAGCCTGGCAGAGGAAAGGTTAGGAATCCACTACAGTGCTGCAGTAGTTTGGTGACAAATAATGGTGACTGAACTAGAATGCGGATAGTGTCTCTACTCAAGAGAAGAGGATGGATTTGATATCCACTTCAGTTAGAACCAAGACTTGATAATGGTTAGAAATGGAGAGGTGGACAGGAGGGATGTAAGGGCAGAGTGAACTGTTAAGAATGACTCCCAGGTTTCTGGCTTAAGCAACTGAGCAAATAGTGGGAGTTGAGGATGATGGGAGTCTGAACAGATCAAAGCAGGGAACAGAGTACTAATAGGTCAAAAGTACTGTGCTTTGGTCATGTTTGAGAAGTCTTTTAAAACAGCCAAGTGGGAGTGTTGATCTAGCAGTTGGAAATCCTAATCTAGAGCTAAGAAAGAAGCTCAAGGAGGTAGAAATTGTTGACAAATACTTGGAAGGTAAAGCCACTGAAAGAATGAGATCATCTAAGAAAGAAATGGAGAAAACAGTGATAAAGTGAACAAGTTCTGAGACAATCCAACATTTAGACATGAGAGGAGTT